TTAGTAGTCACTTATTGGAAAATTTTGACAAAATAAACCCCCCTACATTCTGGCAATTAAAATTAATATTGACCGACTTAAGGTAAACAGCTTCATGAAATTTCAAAAATGCGAAATCGAAGTCGGGTATGGGACAAAAAAATACAATTTCGACCAATTTAACATCCTCACCCCTCCCCTAAAGCAGTTGGAGGAGGTTAGTTCGGTTCTTAACTTTTTTCAGCCAATCAGAAATGAGATTTTTGCATGCAAAGCTGAGCATTACAATTTATTCCGAATCGAATAATCATTTGGATAGGCTCTGAACTTGATCTTTTTGGGGATTGGAGGCAGAAAAAGATGTTAACTTGATCCATCAATTTGAAAAAAGTATACACTAGCGTGCAACGCATCTCTGGTGCTTGAAACAGAAAATTTAACGTGAAAACTGCTTATAAATAAAGTAAATGAATAAAACGAAAGAAATCCATTCCTAAAAAGACTCGCGCGCATCCAACAACAATTTTTCAATAAATTTTTTTTTAAAATCCAACTGAAATGTTTTTAAACTTAAATGGTCAAATCTTTGAAGCTACTGGGTTTCATAATGGCTGACAGCATGCATGTAAGCTCCCCATAATTAACAATTCCTTTGGCGAAATCACCGAATTCATGGATGAGATGCTTGGTAAACTTAGTTCTTTTTTGTTTAAAACAGCAGACTTTTCTTCTTAGTTTAACTGATAGTTTAATGAAGATTTTTGAAATATTATACAAAAAACGTCAGTTTTAACAACTTGAACAGTTCAAGCAATAAAATGTGGGTGTAGGCCACATCTGCAACTGCTGGTAGTAACATAGTTTCACCCCACGAATACGTCGAACATTTCAAATTTTGAAAAGAAATTTGAAAATTAAAAACCAGTTTTTTTTGAAAAATCATGAAAAAAGAGTCATAATTAATATCTAGGAAAATGAAATGCAATGAGCAAACGTCATCTTCAGAGTGCACACAAATATTTCCAGAGAGTGCCTCGACAGCCCCCATTATAATTTTGGGAAGTTCAAACTTAGTTAAGTTTTTTAAATAAAAGGTTTTTGATTTTTTTAAAATTTTGAAAAATCAAAAAAATGGCATATCCCTGAGAGTAGCCTGGATGCTCCCAATTACTGGATTCAGATACTCAACTGTTGTTAAATTTCAACATAATTTCTTTGATTTTTTTTTGAAACAATCATTCATTTTTTTCAAAAAAAAAAACATTTCACAACGTCAAATTTTGAAAACTACAATGATTAGAGCAGCCATATTTTGATGCATAATCTGCGACGCCTGAAAGTACCCTGTGAGCAACTCACACCATAGGGTTTAGAATTTCAATTTGTCCAGTTTTTGTATATAACTTCTTTGAAAATTTTCGAAAAAATCATGAAAAACGCAAACTAAAAGGATTTGAGCAGGCACATTTTGAGGCAAAATTTGCAAAGCCTGAGAGAACCCTGACAGCACCCAATTTCAGCGTTGAGAATTTAAATTTTTGTAGAATTTTTGAAGTCTAAGATTTATGAAAATGTTCGAAAAAAATCACAAGAATCTTTGTATCTCGAAAAAATCATGAAAAAAGAGTCATAATTAATATCTAGGAAAAAGAAATGCAATGAGCAAACGTCATCTTCAGAGTGCACACAAGTATTTCCAGAGAGTGCCTCGACAGCACCCCATTATAATTTTGGGAAGTTCAAACTTATTAAGTTTTTTAAATAAAATGTTTTTGAAGATTTTTTAAAATTTTGAAAAATCTTAAAAATGGCATATCTCGCAAACAAAGATTCTTTAAGCAGTCAACACTTCAAGAAAAGAATTGCAACTTCAGAAGGTACTATGAGGTTACCCCATTATGGGAGTGAGAATAAATAATTTCAAAACTTTTCCAAGTCAAGTTATTTGGAAATTTTTAAAGAATTATTGAAAAACGTAATTTCAGCAGTCAATGTTAGAGGGACGATTTGCAATGTCTGATGGTAACCTGACAGAACCTGACACTATATAATTGATTATATCAACTTTTGTTAATTTTTTTAAATCTAAGTTTGGTGAAATTTTTTTTTAAAAACTTCATATCTCGGCAAGTGAAAGGATCTGGGCAGTTTTATTTTGAGGCAAGATTTGGAAACCCTGAGTAGCCTGGATGCTCCCAATTACTGGATTCAGATACTCAACTGTTGTTAAATTTCAATATAATTTCTTTGATTTTTTTTTTTGAAACAATCATTCATTTTTTTCAAAAAAAAACATTTAACAACGTCAAATTTTGAAAACTAAAATGATTTGAGCAGCCATATTTTGATGCATAATCTGCGACGCCTGAATTTACCCTGTGAGCAACTCACACCATAGGGTTTAGAATTTCAATTTGTCCAGTTTTTGTTTATAACTTCTTTTGAAAATTTTCGAAAAAATCATGAAAAACACAAACTAAAAGGATTTGAGCAGGCACATTTTGAGGCAAAATTTGCAAAGCCTGAGAGAACCCTGACAGCACCCAATTTCAGGGTTGAGAACTAGGGGCCCAGCTGAAAGCTGGAGAGACCTGTTTGATTATTTTAATATTGATTATTTTAAAATTGTTTTAAAATTCAGGTTTCTCAAGTCGATAGCGCCCTTCCGAGTCGCTATCCAGATTTGGAATTAAGTCAGGTTTCTCAAGTCGATAGCGCCCTTCCTACGCAAAAAAATACACACAATAAGTATATTGAATCTTTGTTCCAACGCCAAAAAACTTTTAAAAAAACTTTTCTTAAGTGTACAGCTCTTCCCCGAGACAAATTAAGGACCAGCCGCTTGGGCAGGGGAGTTTCCTACAACCTGGTCTATCGATTAAACCCTTAATCCCAAATCTGGATGGGTAGTTTTTGAAGAAATCGAAAAAGTTTGAAAAAATGGCCTAAAAACCGAAAAATTGACTATTCCTAAGTGTATAGCTCTTCCCCTAGACAAATTAGGGACGAGCCGTTTGTGTAGGGGGGGTTCCTACAACCTGGTCTATCGATTAAACCCTTAATCCCAAATCTGGAAGGGTAGTTTTTGAGGAAATCGGAAAGATTTGAAAAAAGGCCAAAAAAGTGACTTTTCCTAAGTCTATAGCTCTTCCCCTAGGCAAGTTAAGGACCAGCCGCTTGTGTGGGGGAGTTTCCTCCAACCTGGTCTATCGATTAAACCCTTAATTCCAAATCTGGATGGGTAGTTTTTGAGGAAATCGATAATTTCCGAAAAAATAGGCAAAAAAATCAAAAAAGTGACTTTTCCTAAGTCTATAGCTCTTCCCCTAAGCAAATTAGGGACCAGCCGCTTGTGCATGGGGGGTTCCTACAACCTGGTCTATCGATTAAACTCTTAATCCCAAATCTGGACGGGTAGTTTTTGAGGAAATCGGAAAGATTTGAAAAAAGGCCAAAAAAGTCAAAAAAGTGACTTTTCCTAAGTCTATAGCTCTTCCCCTAGGCAAGTTAAGGACCAGCCGCTTGTGCGGGGGAGTTTCCTACAACCTGGTCTATCGATTAAACCCTTAATTCCAAATCTGGATGGGTAGTTTTTGAGGAAATCGATAATTTCCGAAAAAATAGGCAAAAAAATCAAAAAAGTGACTTTTCCTAAGTCTATAGCTCTTCCCCTAAGCAAATTAGGGACCAGCCGCTTGTGCATGGGAGTTTCCTACAACCTGTTCTATCGATTAAACCCTTAATCCCAAATCTGGACGGGTAGTTTTTGAGGAAATCGAAAATTTCCGAAAAAATGGGCAAAAAGTGAAAAAAGTACCGAGTTGTGAAGCTTTTCTAAGACCGTAGGGGGTGGGTAGGTAGGGTAAAAATTGCCCTAAATTTCATGCAGGCAGGTAGGTGAAACGCTACTGAATCCATTGGTACCACTTTTATGAGAATCTGACGGGTAGTTTTTCTGGAAAGCGAATTTTTCGAAAAAGCGTCTCAAAAAAAAATAAAATAAAAAAAAAACCAGATCTCATCTGAAAAAAAAAAAAAACGTTTTCATAATACCTGTTTAATAAATCAAACAGGAATTTAAAGTTTTGTAGAATTTTTGAAGTCTAAGATTTATGAAAATGTTCGAAAAAAATCACAAGAATCTTCGTATCTCGTAAACTAAAAAGATTTGGGTACTCGTATATGGAGGCCCATTTTGCAACCATTAGAGTAACCCTGACAGCACGCCACTATATAGTTGAGAATTTCAAGATCGAATATTTTTTTTAAATTTAAGTTTTTCGAGAAAAAATCACAAGAACCTTTTTATCTCGTAAACTAAAAAGATTTGGGTACTCATATATGGAGGCCCATTTTGCAACCATTAGAGTAACCCTGACAGCACGCCACTATATAGTTGAGAATTTCAAGACCGAATATTTTTTTTTAAATTTAAGTTTTTCGAGAAAAAATCACAAGAACCTTTGTATCTCGTAAACTAAAAAGATTTGGGTACTCATATTTGGAAGCCCAATTTGCAACCCCTAGGGTAATCCTGACAGCATGCCGTTATATAATTGAGAATTTCAAGATCGAATAATTTTTTACCACAAAGTTTTTCGAGAAAAAATTTGAAAAATCATTTAAAAATTGGCATATCTCGAAAACCAAAAGGATTTGAGCAGTCAGATTTAGATCAGTTTTAACCGTATTTTCAAACTTGACGAAAAAAACAACGAATTCAAACTGGAAAATTGAAAAAAAATCTTAATCATTGCAATGTACGATTTAGCTTAAACGTGCAAAAATTCTTTCGTTAAACATGCAAAAACAATACGTTGAAAAAGCTTAAACAAGGCGAGATAGTGAAGCCCGCATTTAAATCTATACTAGATAATAGATTCTCGCCGAACGCTCCTTTAGAAAAATTCTGGGGTCGGTAGGCCAAAAACGGATGTTGTAAAATAGAACCAAAGGAGAGACAGCCCCCACCCCCTAAATCCGTTCATGATTAGTTATGTATGATTCGAATTGGAATACAATTTGAATGTTTTCGGATTAAATTAGTGAACAGAGAAAACGATGGCAATTTAAAGTAATTATATATATGCTATATAAGATGACACATTTTCAGATATACAAACCTTTTATAAAAATAAATTAAAGAATGAGTTCAATTAAAACATGCTCTCAAACATCAAAATATTACCTCGACTAGATGACTGAGTATAACGCAAACGATTAGTGTTCTGTTACTTCATTTTCACAACTTATAATTTCTGGAATTTAGGAAGTATTTATAGTTCAATCTTCAAATGATACTTTTTAAAAGTTTTCTATTTTTGACTGTTGAGCAATCTCTCTTTGGCTTTTTGATAGAGTTTCAATCTGGTCGAGGAGTACTCCAGGTATCCGAACGGAATGTCGCAAGATCCAGGGGTCGAATGGTACTGCACACAAACTCCCCACGATGAGAAAAACAGGTGCGAATAACATGAATAGAGGTCAATCTCACTAATAACCTCTTCTGTCGCCTCTTGAATGACCTTTGACCCTGGTTCCATTCCCATTTCTGAGAAATACTCAGTCAGGAAGTGCATCTGTTCATCCCTAGTTGGGAAGTTGTTCAGATTAAAAGTGAAGAAAGGCGGTTCTGTTACTTCGTAATCGGCCATCCATTCTAAGAAGTGGTTTGTGATGTCGAAGTTCCTGTAGTTGTAGCACGAGTACTCATAGTCTATAAAAACCAGTTGCTTGTCTTCGACCCGAGATAGAATGTTTCCTTCCTAAAAACGAACAGTAGTATTTCTTTTACTTCTTGGATAACTGGAAAAAAAACATAGCCAACAGACAGTTGGAAAAGAGTCATGAACGCAATTAAGTAAAAAATGCCGACTTAAATTTTTTTTTTTGAAAAAATCACAACTTTCGAATTTCAAAAAAATAGATGCCCTAAAGCTATTTGAATTTCTGAAAAAATTTATGATTGGCGCTTTTCGACAAAATTGACCCATTTTGAGAAAACCGCTGTAAATCTGAAAAATAAATTCCGACCTATATCAGATTCTGAACAACATTCATCGACTCTTAATCATTCGTGGCTTATGAATCGGAAAAAAAACTTGGAGCAAAGATCTGGAGAAAACTAAAAAATGCTTCTCAAATTAAAACCCTACCTGCATATCATTGTGGCAGAAAACAACAGGCGACGTAGACCTGCTCAATTGATCCTTCATAAACTCAATTTCTTTGTCGACATCCAACTGTTCCAAAATCTCTTTCGCTTTGATCTCAGATTGGTCCGTAGGCTTTAATGCGCCGACTAGCGAATAGTACTCCTTGCATGTCTGCAGTAAAAGCCACTGTGTTTTCATAACTGGTACGCTAAGTTTATGGAATTTGGCACAGTTTCTGGCAATTTTTGATGAAATTTCGGGGACTCTTAGATCTGTCACCTCTAAGCGATCGGCCTCTACGAATTCTTCTAGCCTCCCTTCGGGAAAGATGCCATACAATTTCGGACCAAAATTCCTCTCAGCTAAAATTGAGGCTGTGACCGTTTCGATGACTAACTCGTGACCTACTGAACCGTGGATCCGTAGAAGCAATGGTGACACTTTTGGTTCTGGTTTTAAACTTGACACTCTGAAAACGTAATTTGTCAGCCCACTTAGTCGCGTTAAACAGACATCATCTGGAGTCAGTTGCTTCCAGTTTTCACCGACGTAAAGGCGGCATATTCGGAGTGCTTCGGAACGTATTTTAAGGCCTTTGATGTCGGGACTAGTGAAAACTCTAGTTGAAACATCGCCAGAAGGTTGATCTAATGTCGGATTTTCGGAATTGTTCATTACTTCTCTGGAAATGACAAACTAAGTAGATCATTGAGACCTTAGCAACATGTAACAAAAACAAATCTTAGATTTTTCCATAACTTGTCTTAGGTCGACCAAATTTCACGCTTTCCTAAACAGCTTTTAAGAAAGTAGTTGAAACTTTTGAAAAAGTATATCGACATATTGTTTCTGAGACAAGTGTTAAATTGTCAATGAACTAGAAATTTGCAACTTACTTCTAATTTCCAAAATAAAAGAACAAATAAACCTGATGATAATGACGACGATAAATCAAATTAGAGGTGATCAATTCGTTGGGTTGGTAAATAATCTGAAAAATAGTCTTAACTAGCCTGCTGTCAATTAGTAGTAAAATATATCAAACCAGTTTTTCCGACAAATCGAAAAGTTTCTGAAATATCTTTTAGAATCCAAAACCCAGCGATACTTCTTATTTTGTAAAATGGTCGTAACAAAAAACATTTCACACAAATCGTTACGAATAAATTATGTTCAGGATTTCGATCTTTCAAAAAAAAACTCACTTAATACTTTTTTACTCAGAGGCGTGGCTGAGCTTCGCACCACTTGCGATATAATATAAATAGAGAAAAGCAGCGCTATTCGAAAGCCATCGCTCAACAAAAAATGAAAAAGGGCAAAAACACCCAACATTTTTATAATCAATTCAATTAAAAACTGTCGACTCAATTCGATTGGAACCTGTCGCGAAACACGAATTCCAGCATTAAACACAGAGGCAATTTGACTTACTACGGAAAAAAGTCTATTACCCGGTTGCAATTTACTTGCTATCGCAAATCTAACGAGTAATTGAAATCTGGTATTAAAACACTGAAACTCGAGGATCAATGAATGAAGAATCTATTTTCTGTAAAGATAAAAATTACCATGAATTTTACAGCCACGAAGCCTTGCTTCGCAAATACTAGCGAAAACACGACAAAAACAGCTCTATGAAGTGCAATAATAAAAATTAGAAATAAGCACTGAGTTAGAAAAAAATTCGGCAACCTCTGAGATTCGAAACTGCGACCTAGAGATTATGACTCACACATTAACCACTCAGCCACGGAAGCTTAACAGGTATCAAAAACTAGCCACAAATTAAGCAGAGAACAGATGCTATGCAGTTTCCAATGCTACAAATAAGTGAACACTTAAAATGAAATTTTATTAGCGAGTTACTTAGAAAAATAGAAGGTTCGCAATAACATACTAAGCTGATTGCAAGTGTATTAAGCATAAAAAAATCATCTAAAAAGCATATAAAACCTGGGTACACGACCGTTAAGACGGGAAAATTTATAACAAGATTTCGGCTATTCAAGCCGAAGAAACCTTTCACGCGAAAAAAATCATGGAGCACTATTACCTGCCACATTATAATTTCGGATACGGTAATTTTTTAATGTTAGAAAATGCTGAAAAATCAAAAAAATGTACAGCCTGAAGAAACTAAGCCGACAAAACAATCCGATACACGATAGAATTTGAAAAGCACAAAATTTTCAGAAATTATTGTGGATTGTTTCGAAAAATTATAGCAATAATTCAAAAAAATCAATAAAACATTATCTTGAACTCAGAAAAAAATTTCTTATGAATGACGAAAAAAAGGCACCAAATCACTAGGTATCAAGTCCGAACCCAAAAACGATATCTATTTCCGTTTTTTTTTTTACTAATAGAGACGTTCAATGGGTATAAAACCAAAAATCTAAAATATATTTACTTTGCTCAAACAGGAGATATAACGAACTATATAATTGTTTAGAACAGCAAGTGTTCAGAAAAAACGTTAATTGTAATGCTTTTTTTTCTGAACACTTGCTGTTCTAAACACTTCTACAGTTTGTTTTAACTCCTGTTTGAGCAGAGTAAATAAATTTTAGATTTTTGGTTTTATACCTATTAAACGTATCTGTTAGTAGTAGTAGTCTCGTTTGTAGCATCAGTAAACCCAGAAAAGGCTTCAAACTGAGGTCGAGACAATTGATGGTTTCAGATAATACAAATATTTCTAACTTAGCCAACTTAAGTTGGGTTTTAGGTTTTAAGGCGCATCCTTACGGAAATCGAGCAGGAAATTTTGCAACGACTGGAAATCTCATTTTTATTGCCTTAAAAAAACAATTCTTAAAAAGCAGTCAGCTTGAAAAAATCAAGAACTGAAAAACAGCACTTATAATGGAAGGCACCGAAAAGTACAATAGGTTAAAAAAAAAAAACAGGTAGCCGAAACTTTAGAGTCTGAGCTCGCAAGCCAAAAAAAGTTTCTACTCAAAGGCAAAAAACAGCTAGCAAGAAAAAACGTAGTGTTTTTGAATTGCTTTGACTTCATGGATTGACTTCATGGATTCTTTCTGAGTTTTCTAATTTTGAAAACTTAACAATCACAGTTATCAGGCAGTAATCTCAACAGAAACACAAAAAGAAACCCCAAAATCTTGCACTAAAGATTCGAGTAAATCTTGAAATTGCTATTGAAGCACACTACTTAGGTTCTTTTACCTGGTTATTATCTCACATTTAACGCATCAAAACTGAACTTAAAAAGAAAAACTAAACTTTATGGTTCCTGAAAAAAAAACATGAAACCTACTTTTATTTCATTATTTTTCTCGAAAAAAATCGCACCAAGCATCAATTCGTAGCAAGCAACAATTATCAGCATGATTCGATGCAAAAAAAACGATGCGAATTAAGCAAAAAACTTGTGGTTGAGGGGGATTAAAATCCAACGAGGGATCAAAATTTTCAATTTACCACCAGTCTTCAATTAAATATCAAGCTGAAATAAATTACAGTAAATACAAGAGTAATTGAACTTCATTAGCATGTAAAACACCTTTGTTTCAATTCATTTGTTTCATTACAAATCATTACACTTACTGATGTCAATATTTTTTAGTTTCGGTCGGGTCGCTCCACCTATTAATTTTAACCGTTCTCCCCCGTTTCGACATTAAACCTAACCCTGGTCCCTACACTTACTCCCCATGCAAACAAAAAAAATTTCTGATACAAGCCAGCGTCTGGTACCACACATTCCCATTTTCCTCTTGTACTGAATCTTGTCCATTTTCCTCCTGTACTGAATCTTGTCCATTTTCCTCTTGTACTGAATCCTATAATCTGCCCCCTCCTGTGACTAACAATACTAACCTTACTCGCCAGCCCGTACAAAAAAATCACCCTCCAACCACTAAGTCCCACTCAGTCCCAAACACAGTTCTCCTTGTAACTAACCAAATTCCAAATTTGCGCCATGACTCAAACCTCCCGAAAGCAACGAACGCCCCCAATTAACCAAGCAAACCCCCTCTACCAAGACCCTGAATATTCTACAATTCAATCGTAATCGAATCTCTGGGAAAGCACCCGAAGTTGCAGCCGTAATGTGCAAATACCAAATACACATCGCGGTTTTTCAAGAAGTAAAGTTAAACTTGAAAAATCGCACTTCGTCGCTGCGCCCCAATTACCCAAATATTAGAAACGAGCGTACTCGAGAGCCAGGTGTACTCCTTACTGCCATACATAACACCATTCTATACGAGGAACTTAAAATAGCGGTATGTGGAATTTAGGAGGCGCAGTGCGTGCTAGTAAACGCCAGCAACCAAAATCTTCGTATCACAAATTTTTACATCCCTCCCCACTAGCTGCCCCAAAGACTTTAAAGCATCCAGTTTAGCTTTTTTCGAATGAAAACAGTATCGTCTTTAGTGATGCTAATGCCTAGTCTCCTCTTTGGCACTCCATTATCCATGAACGACCAACCAACGTGGGGCAAGACTCGGAGCCGAAACTATTGAATCTACTTATTCTCTACTTAATGACCATCATCAAATAAGGATCCCATACGATAGCAACTCTTCAACATCGTCTCCAAAACTTTCACTGGCCTCGCCGTCCATTTTAATAAATCTTTCATGCTGAACACTTTTTAAGCTTGGCTCGGATCATCTCCCAAATTTAATTACCCTTTCAAATGCAAAAGAGATACCGTTCGCTGCCCGCAAAACTTTGATAGTTGTGAAAAGGCAGCTGGAAAAATTTTACCTATGAACGAAGGTTTTCATTCAAGTAGATTTTAGCAAAGAAACCAATGCTGCACGATGTAAGCACTGCAGATCGGACCTTTCGTGAAACGATACTTGCTGCGGAACGTCACCATATTCCCGCAAGCCGGCAAAGTTTCTTTTTTTCTGCCCTCAATGAAAAAACAAGGAAACTTGCTCAACAAAGAGATCAAACCGGACTTTTTAACCCATCCGACCCTTTTTTAAATGTTTCGAACAAAAAGATCATGGCCAAAACTGCTAAAGACAGAGAAAAGAGAAATTTTTAGACCTGAACATTTTATCAGCGACGGTTCTAATCAACAAAAGTTCTCAAATAGTACAGTTCTGGCCACACTTGAATTATCAAAATCATTTGACATGATCAGCCATTGCACCCTCCTGGATCTCTTTCATGGCACCAGCGTACCGGAAAGCCTAATCAAGTGGATTGTTCATACAGGCGTCTCTCAAGGCTGTCTTATCTCCAACACCTTTTAATTTTTACGTCAATGACGCTCCTGTATCGCCCCCGGTTTAAATTGCAGTCTTACGCTGACGACTTCCACCCTTTTGTCCAGTCCAGCAACATTTCAACGGCATCAATAGCCTTATCTAGTTATTTAACTATGTTGCACAATTTTTTTTATATTAAGGTCCATTGTTTTTCTAAAGATTCGACCGGCCTTTTTTCTTCTTTTAACAAAGATTTTACACGGATCCGAATTCGGAAATGAACAAAACTAAATTGCCCTTTGGGATACATCCCAAAATACTTGGTGCCTTATGCGACCCGTTCCTAAACTTAGCAGAACATTGCGAGCAAACATCCAGAAAAGCCGCGCGCAGGATATCGATCCTGAAGGCTTTATCTGGGACCAGTCCAAAGGAACTTTATGGTTACTTTAAAGTTTTATTAAGACCAATTTTAGACTACGCGAGCCCTGCCTGGTCCCACTCTGCCAGTAAAACTTCTTTAAACAAACTGCGAACAGTTCTAAATTCTGCTCTCCGCATGATAACAGGGTGCTCAAAGATAAGCGCAATAGAACATTTGCATTCAGAATGCGAACTTCTAAATGTAGACAACCACCATTATCTACTGGCATCATTTTCTATCATCACTATCCCAAACCCCCAGGGAACAACCGCACTTCGTTGCTCAACTTATACGCCCCTGAAATTGAGACTATCCTTTCCGAAACTAATACTCTTACGCTTTTCAAAAATTTTAGTGAACGTATTTTTTTCATTCTTAACAACTTTAAATTGTTTCAAAAGCAAATACACACACAAAGTTAGGCAAGCCATTTCAGATGCACCAATCCCGAAAGTTCTGCCCCTTGGACCACCTGAAATCTCTGCCGCCGAAGAATCCACTACGAGAACCTTTTCCCATTTGAAGTCCGGGTACAGCCCCCTCCGAAACGTACCTGGAACGAATCGACCCTAACGTCCCCCCAAACTAACTAGCCATACTGTCCTTCCCACATACAACTTTTCTTCTTTTTAACTGTTCCCAGAACACCACTTTTTTAACCCCAATAGATATGTGGCTTCGTCCGATCGAAGTTGTGACGTTTCTGGGGCTTGGTTTGAGCATGCCGGACTCGCCCTCTCGGGGCTAAAAACAATAAGAACAACACGCTCAAGAAAGAACAACACGCTCACTGGAGTCTATCAGGAGAACCCAGGTGTTTGGGGTTCACTAGGGTTCTCCTGATAGACTAAGATGTGCACTAAGAGGGGTCTGATTCATAATAAGAACTGCTCCAGTGTACCGCAGATGATTGTTCCTCATAGAGCGGTCATTCCAATTTTGACCACTTCTGATCGTGCAAGAACTTGCCCAAAAAAGACAAGACTTCTCGTATCAGGGCGAAGCCCTGAAAGTTCCGACTGCCTTTTAACGTTTATGGAGCAGTAATAACATAAACAACATGAAAAAAATTCAATGAAATATAAAAAAATTTCTAAAATTTGAAAATTTTTCTATGCAAATGATCCCCCCACACGCCATATAAAGTACAAAACAATAGGTTTCGCTCCTTGGAACAAATCAATTATGGCAAATAAGCTTCTTACAACCAATTTGGAACGATTTCTAAGACAGATTAAATCTCCGCTTACGCGTTAATAGCGCGAATTATATCGCGCGTTAATTGTCCCAAATTGGTCAAAATGGCAATCTTTAAACCCTCATAACTTTACGAAAAACGATCACAGGTGAAATATCTTTTCAAATTTAAGCTCAGGACAACAATACCTTTCGAATGATATAAAAAATTTCCGTCAAAAATGGCTAGTTAAAAAGTCGAAATTTGTCAGAAGAAAAAAAAACCCACCCCGAGCACAAATATTCCGTTACTTTCATATCGAAAGTCGGAACAAAAAGGTTTTAGTCTTTCTGTCAATCATTGCAGTATACGTACAACAACTGAAGAAGGGATATATCACACCAAGCGAAGTAAAGACAAAACAGTCGAAAAGCTTGTGGAAACAATAAAAATACCTAGCCCTGAACTCAAAAACGGATAGCCAGTCATATCAGTCTCGAAATGATTAGAACCGATTTAATTAACAAAATTCAATTAACTTCTTCTAATCTAACTTATACACTTCTTGTGATTGAAGTAATAGCACACAAATGCAAACAAAAGTGCTTACAAATTAACTACTTAATAACTGCATCAAAAGTTAGAACTGCTTTAGATATGTCACAATTAGAAGCGAGTCACAAAGACCGCCCGCCGCAGTAACTGAGATTTTAAATTATCAATACCATCTTTTCAAACCACCAACAACCAGAAATGTTGATTTTATTCATTCATTAGGCTGCAATTAAATTGTAGCACAGCAAATTTGGACAGTTAATTTGCCTGTTTCGCCTGAGCACAGTGTATAACGCTTCTTATCTTTAAAGGACATTTGGCAACTTGTAGCATAAAATTGTTACGATTAGTTCATTCCATACGAGGCGATAAGGGCGTGAAATCATTGAACAAGCTGTCAACCAACGCTCGGTTATTCCTTCTCGTAGGCGCAAGCGAATCGGTTGAGTCCTCGGCGACGTCTCCGAGTCTCTTTCCTGTAGTTGCACCTTGGTTTTCCGAGACCTGATTTGCGGATGACGTTGAGCTTACGAGTGATCCCCGAGTTAGATTCGGGTTCGAGGCCGAAGACGCATTCGGGTCACTGAGGTGAAACAGGTAAGCAGCCGAGTTGCTATTTGCCGGGAGTGTCGAGTGCTCCATATTTGCCATTGCAGAATTTCTGTTGGCAATGGTCCCAATGGAGGTCGTGTTGTAACTGAAATTGTAGCTATAACAAACAGAACGGTTACTAGTAAACGCTTGCACCTCTATATTAAAACCAAACTCGAAATTTTTGTTGCCAACCTAAACAAATCAAACATGGCTGTCAGACAATTGGAAAAGCGTTAATAAAAATGTTATTCCGACCACTCGAAGAGTGGAAGGGAACGTTGGATTCGGGTCCTCAAGAAATCTCGTAAGGGTCAAGTGTGGCATCATATTACAGCCACTTTGGTCGTGATTTACATTCTAAAAAAGTCGAAAATAAAAGGTCTGAAAATCTGGCCCGTCTTTCACACTCAATTAGACCAAATTTGCCGGGAGGCTGACCTCCCAACGTTACAAAAATCATGTAACAATGTTAAGATTATTTTAGCACTTACACTTTAGTTAAACTCTTAAAAGTGTTGTTTAGAGTGAAAAAAAACATGTGTTGCGGAATCCGTGACCATATATCTGCAACAGTTGCATCCTTTTCGCTCACCGTCACGGAATCCGCGACATGCAATTAACCAGACGTAATGACTTACTTGCTCAAATGTGGGGTTTAAAATTGCATTTCACTTGTTATGAGGGGTCAAATTTTTGTATTCCACTTGTCAATTTCATCAAAAGCCTCAAGCTGGGGACTAAGAACAAAAACTTGAAGTTGAAGTTGGTGCAGCAACGGTTTGAACTCACTTGAATTTGGTTGTTTAAGGGTGAATTCCCATAGGTTCCAATATTCATAGGTTCCAAAATAAAAAATCAGTCGCATAAGTTATCTTCTTGAATTCTGATTGGTTGAAATTTGAGCCAACGAATTTACGGATTGATTTTTTACTGTTCAACTAGCATAAAGTCAAGCTGCAGAATAGTGACCGCCGCAGCCTCGCCAACGTGTTGCGAGCTTGCCTTCAAAGGGTAGGACTCTATACGAAATTTAGAGCCGGTTATGGCCGCGAAGCGGCGACGCGCGCGTAGCGCGCCCACCGGCGACCTTAAACCGAGAATCAGCTAATTTAGTCTTTTGACCAATTGAAAAGATTTGGAACTTATGCGACTGCTTTTTTATTTTGGAACCTATGGGACTGATTTTTTATTTTGGAACCTATGAATACGCACCGTGTTTAAGACCACGATTAGAATTCATTTCAATTTCGTTGTCTTTTAAATCAGTATAAGCACTATAATCAGGGGGCTATTCTCATGCGCGAAGGACCGAATGCGCGACAAAACTTTTGTGCGAAAAATCGAAAACAATATTAGCCGAAAGTCAATTTTTAAAAAGAAGCAGTTGCCATTCAATTAAAAAGAAGTAAATGAAGAAACAGTTTGCTTCTTTCATCAAACCCTTGAAATGTAAAACTTGTCTCAATTTTGCGGCGGTCAATGACAATATTAAAGTTTTGCATATTTCTGCTGTTTCTATAATCGGCCAATCTCAAATACCCCAGTTGTTTACTTTTTTTCCAAATTTTAGATTACTGAAATCTGATTGGCTGACTTATATTTTCGCGCATTCGGACTTTCGCGCATGAGGGTTTCTACCAATTACATTATCTTATTGCTATTTCAACTTCGAGAATCTTTACTGATTGAGATTTTCGGGGGCGTTCAACAGAGCCAAGTACATCAGTGCCGAAAAAGGCGGGAAAATTTCAGAATAATTTACACGCATTTTCTAAAGAGCGGGAAATTACTGACGCTAATTATCAAAGATAACCACTCCAATTTTGGCGCCAAAATCTCTGTTACAGCAAATTATACAATTATTTTGGCGCCAAAACGTCTAAATTGCAAATTTTCTCTCCCAAAATCTTTAAGTGTCACTTGAGTAAACGATCGCCGTTTAATTTTAGATTGCCGCACTTAATATGTTGAAATTCGTTCAAATTTTCGGCACTGTTGAACAAAGTTTTCATTTTCGGCACTGTTGAACAAAGTTTTCATTTTAGGCACTGTTGTACTTCGGCACTGTTGTACTGCCCCAGATTTTCATTCAAGCTAATCTAACTTCAGAAATATAAATCTAAAAGTATTTTTTTATTCTGCTGACAAATCTGATATCTAAAATCTACTTTTGAAAGTCAAGCTAAAATTTTGGTACCATTTTCATTTTGGCTATTGGAGAATTTATTTACCTTCCAGATGGCAAATAATTTGCAACGAACTTTAAAAATCAAAGTAAAAGCGCAGTAATATTAAACTGAGGATGGCCAAAACTTCAGCAATTGGGAAAAAATTGGCTGGAACATAAAAAAGCACATGTAATGTAGTTTCATGCAAGTTAAGCTACACTCACTCGTTGGCCCTGTAGCTGTACATGCTTGATGTATCGAGAGAGGGTGGTCGCATGGAGTGGATTGAGTTGGAGGACAGTCCCCTGCGTCTGTGGTCCGAACTGAGAAGAGCAGAAGAAGTTGAGGAGAAAGGAGGAGGCGGCGGCGGCTGTTGGGAGGAAGGGAGAGAAGAACAAAAATCGATGCTGGCCGAGGGATTGCGAGAGTGATGACCTCCTCCTGCAGACAGCAAGATTAAAACATGATTTATTAGCTAAACACAAACATAGTCAGACCTCCTCCTGCAGACAGCAAGATTAAAACATGATTTATTAGCTAAACACAAACATAGTCAACAGACAGTAGGAAAAGAGTCAATCAACGCAACGAAACAAACATAAAAACGACTTCTTTTTTAAAACAAAATTTCAACTTTCGAATTTCAAAAAGTAATAAAATGTATGTTAGAGCTCTTTTAATTTCTAGAACAATTTATCATATACATTTTTCAAATAAAATTAACCCAATTTGAGAAACTGGATCAATAGGTAAAGGTTTTAATCCGAATGGAGTTCAAATACTTCATTGCTTAAAATAATGGTTGTATGTCCAAGTAAACTTCTGCAACTTAACCATTACCTTCTGATGCGTTGAGCTGCGAGTGGAGTGTGGATGTTTCGAGATTATTGCCACCTCCTGTTCCTGTCCCGCCTCCGCTTACTGTCGTTTTCCCCACCCCTCCTCCCAACGTTGGATTGAGTATGTCATTGATAACGTTGCGCTGGCCACTATACGAATTATACTCGGTGCCAGCCGGGATAAAACTCATAGGGTCCCCTGCAAAAAATGTGATTTAATTTCATATTAAGATCGGCGAAATAAAACATAGCCTTCAAAAAAACTTCAATTTTCGATTTTCACAAAAATAAACATACGGTCTAAAAGCTCAAGCAGTTTATGATTGACACTTTAATGATAAAATTAACTCAATTTGAGATAACTGGATCAATAGGTAAACTTTTTAATCCGCTGGAAAACTTGAAAATTGAAATCCACTTAATTGAAATTATAAGTCGATCACGTTTTCGTGACCTTTACACTTTTGCTGTTCGATAGCTGAGTTTGCCTTCTTTTTAACAAAGTAAATTAACTTAACTTGAAAAAAATGAAGTCAAACCGCGGAAAATAAATTTGAGCGCGAGCAAATTTAAGTCTTCTCCGGAAAAGAAAAACAATCACGACCTATATAAACTACGTTCATCGACTTTTGAAAATTTCAAATATTTTTCGCAATTCCTAGCCCTTCATAACCTTTTTCGAACACAGAGACGAAGTTGCACTTCGCATACACAAGCAAAAATATGACCGATAACGCTACTGGAAAAACTGAATGAGTAAAACTTTGACTCTACGAAATTTCGTAAGTGACGCACGCCAAATACGAGTCTTCGTAATTGCTAAGTGACCTAAGTCAATTATAACGCATTAGCAGTAACAGTCAATTTGAAAAAAAAACTAAGATGCCTCAATTATAGAGCGGACGCATTGTAACTAGTATACGAAAAAGGTCATCAAAAACATCCGACCCTGCCCAGGTTCGAACACTCTTATTTTGTTGCGGATCTCCTTCCCTGCCTCTACGCTACAGATCCATGATACCTTGAAACTAAAGAGCTATTTGTACTATAATAGTGTGTTAATATCCTTAGCATTGGCTGTACTTGAAAGCTGGTTATTGATCAAAATGAACACATTTTGCCGCAACAATAATTACGTCGCAATAGTATTTGCGACTTAGGTTGGGAAAAAAAGAGAGTTCATACTATGCTTGTGTAAAAACAGCTTTACTAAGGCAAACATCCGACATTTCTCAAAAAGTAAGGCAATCATCCCACATTTCTCAAAAATTAGAGCAAACATCCAATTTCTTTTTTTCGCTTATAAGATGCCGTATTGGACGAATTAATAGAGACCATGTAAAAGATTCCGCACTAACCCCTGGTGAGTCGCATGTTGATGCGTAGGATGATGCGGGAGTTATCCTGTCTCTCCTTCCTGTTGCTCCTGTTCCTGTAGCCAGTCAAAAGGGGCTTCCGACTGTTCTCGCCAGGCGACAACTCCGCCAGATCTATGTCACTATTACAAAACACGATAACTCCTTAATTGAATTGAGGACAGATTAAATATAATTAACAGGTCATGTGAGACTGCTGTTAATGTCAGACATTTTCCGAGACGAATTGAAATGACACTTTGATACAGTTTTTCTATAACCTTTTTTTTCTACTAAATTAGCCGGTTGTGCAAAAGAGCAACGAATGTTCCTACCACAGTTATTACTACAAAAAATCTTAATCTTTTAATTTTTCGCATTGTTTTCTGCGGGGGTAGGAATTGAAATTAGGAGAACAATGGTTTCAATTAAATCGGAAGACAACTCCTTTTATTTCATCTACTGGCCTCACCTAAGCGGTAAATTAGTCGGAATAGCAAAAACAACGCTTGCCTGAATCCTAGTTTCTTCTGTGAGTTATTCGTGTCTATAAACCGCACCGACACTCGCATAATCTGTGATCTCAGCACAGACTTCGCATCTGTCGACATCTGCACTACAAACGAGTGGTTCGAATTGAACTGTGCCTGATGATTCTCAATCTTAACCGGATCTGTAATCACTTTCCGTGGGTCCTCTTTCAAGCGGCGTCCAAGCAATATCCCACCTCTTTTGGCGCCCAATAGCCGTAACTTGCACTGAATCGATCCTTGGAGCCTCGGAACATCGCTCAGAGACTCAATCAGAACGTCGAAAGTGAACTCTAACTTCCTAGATGATAGCTTCATTTGACGTTCGTTCTAACTATTATCTACTTCACTATAAACTATACGTCAATGATCCAATTTCACACAGGGATGGTATAATTTCAAATTCGTTACGTCATTGCTTTACATGAAAAGGGAACTGAGTCTTGATGATAACTCTGAATTGGCTTGAAGAGCAAATCCGTGACTCGAATTTTAATACCATAATGAGACTGACAGTATTTCATTTCATCCCGTGTGTCATATATATACATTCATAACTGAAATAGATGATGAATGTATGGAAATATTTGCTATGAAACAGAAGCTTATGCGCTTTCAAATCACTGAAGTAATTGGTATCTTTGGAGTGTATAGAACGCAATATGTTACACTTTTTTTTATTAAACATCAAACAATGAAATAGACTTTCAAATCAGGAAAAGATTCGTTTCAATTATGTCATATGAAAGCCACGTAGAACAATTTGACAAAAAGTAAACGCATAAATACATTTTACAACAATGCCCTTTGATTCAGCAGACAGGTAAATTGTCTCACTGAAGTTTGAATACAACTCTTGTCCAAAGTACTCTATGCAATAGAAAGTACAAACGCATTCAGCTCCTCCTTTTCTAAAATTGCGCGCTTGGAGCAGAAAATCAGAGAAAAAGTCGGTTCCATAAACTCTAAACGGGTCCGAGGAAGTCGTCCAAAAGAGTTCCGATAGCGAAAATGTCATTTGCATCAATTCTCGTGCCCATCAACTTGACTCTTATTGTACTTCCGAGGTCAATGACCTCTGTTTCGTCTTTGGACTTGTATCTTGGCTTCTTGTCGTCTGACACGAAGTCCATTTCGGAAGGGATGCCGTGTTTGCTGATGAAGCAGGCCATGGGGCCTATCTCTGTGAAGATGCCCAATTTAGTCACCTGAGTCACTACAGCTTCTAGAACTTCGCCCTTGAACGGTCTGAACAAAAAAGCGAATCAAAAATTTATCAAATGAAGATCACGGAGAGATGAGAAAGAAAACTGCGGGCTGAATAATAACAAGAATTTTCATATGTAACCGTAACACAAAAATCAAACAACGCGTTTAACCGTAGAAACCATATCATAATAAACTACACTTTAAAACAATTCGCCTAATTGTTAAGTAATCCAAAAAAGTGCAGAGCTCGAATTCGGATGCTCTGAATTCTTCTCTTCCACTTACTTCTTAACCCGAGTGCAAAAGTACAGCAGTAAAATTAGGAAACCTCAATTTACCTGAAAACGATTGCCTTGTACTTGATGGGATACAACACGAATCCCCTTCCAGGTTGAATGTAACCGGAGCCAATGGTGTCCAGAGTGGTGACTGAGATTATGAATCCATACTTGCCACTGCATGTACCCTCCACCTCACTCAGCAACTTCGCCCTCAGAGTAGTGTTTAGTTTGGGCCCGAAGTATCTCGGATGGAGGAGCACTTCGTGTTCCAACTTCATGTGGTAAAACATAGCTCATCTGAAATTTGCAAAAAAAAATTAGAATAATCCTAAAATTTTTGGTAGGCTCCATTTACCAGATGGAGCCTGCCAAAAAACAAGCTAATTATTTGAATACAAATTTCACTAAAACAAGTTTGAAAAAAAAAAGGCGAAGCAGAGCAAGGAATAAACCACGAACATAGCATGACAAACTAGCAAAAAGAAGTCGAAACAAAAGCCGCTAAAAGTTTCAAAAATGTCGAGAAACGATAGATCTACCTAGATCTTTGTCTCAAATAAAACTAACTTAAAAAAACAAAAAAAGAAAAGAAAATAGTAAGTTACATTTGCATTGAAACAAAGAGCTATTAAAGCAGACAAATTTTGAGCAGACACCCGTTGAGCCAAAAAAAATGTTTTCATAAAACTATACTATAAAAAACGAAACTATACATACCGCACCATTTAAACAAAATTACATTGAACAGGTAATTGAATTGCAAACATGCTCAAAATGAGTCAGTTGAGTAACAGAATATGATTCGTTAATTTTGAAGCACAAATTGTTTACAAGGATAAGTCTGTGTATCGAATTGATAACGCTTGCTAATTGCGAGCAAAATCATCGAAAAGCTATTAATTCAGTGTACTTCAATGAACAGAGCAAAAAGATTTTTCAAAACAAATAACAAAACTAAAATTCCGCAAAAAAATCTTCAAACTCAATTACCTCCACCAATAGGGCTTAAGAAACGGGATCCAGGAATTTAGAAGAAAGCTGAACCTTCAAAAAAAGTCCGTGTTACGCGAACTATGCTGAACAAAAAGAAACAGAAATAATGGTAGTCAGAAAAGGCTGGATTCGAACCACACGCCATTGTTATCTCAAGCAGGTGTGCTACCTCTACGACAGATTCGCAGGATTATTGTTTGATTTTGAGTTTGTTATGAAGCAAGATGAACACAGAGGCGAAGAGGAGTTTCGCAGCAACTGCGATACAACAACAGCATTACGTTATAAAAACAAGAACAGAAAAAGAGATGGGAAATCGGATTTTTTTTTGAAAAACTAAAATGAAAAACTAACATGCAAAAATCGACTACTGAGTGGCAAATAAGGCAAAAAAAATCTGGTTGACCACCTGTTGAGCCAAAAAAACTGCTGTCATAATAAAATTTTGAGCTATAAATCAAACAATATGTTGTACTGATGCGGGATTAAACGCGTTAACTTCAAAAAAATTTTTTAAAAAATTAGTCTTAACCCATACTCTTTGTGGTTTCTACTTAGAGAAGGCATCATTAGCTTATCTAGGGTACATGCTACTTTCAGTCTTTTTAATTGAACTCAACATCAGATTTGGCACGGTAGTTTTCAAGAAGTGAACAAATTACCATAAAACAAAACGAAAAATGGACTATTCATAAACCATACCTGCTTTTCTACAAAATAAAAGACTATAAACATTTATTCAGTGAATATCTCTACGCCATCTTCCTTTAACTTAATCATTGACCTCAGAATTGGCGGAGCAGTTTTAGAGAAAAAAAACAGTCCAAAAAATTTGATTTTTCCTAGGTCATTCCAGTTTCTCGACAAAAAATAAGGCGCAGCTACTTCTACAGGAAAGATTTCCACAGGATGTTGTTTCGATATTGCAAAATCTGAACTCATATTTGGCAGAATATGTTTTTGAGAAAAGTTAAATTTGCAAAAAAACCAAAACAAAATCTAGCAGCCTGTTCCTTCAATCGAATCTTCAATGTGAGATTTGTCGGGGTAGTTTTTTAGCGAAATAAAAAATTTCTTAAACCGGACCCAAAAACACAAATTTGACTTTTCCAAAAACTAAAGCTTTTTTAATAAAAAATTTGTACCAAGTTATGCAGCGAAATCAGTTACTGCAAAGGAATTATGAATCTTAATACTGGCAATTGGTCTAGGCCGTTGAAGGCGGTTTAGGACGTTGAAGGCCGAGTAAAGTAAAAAAAAAGAGAGACTAGGGAGACATGCAGACACACTATCTAGTAGCCTGTCTTTCCATTGGTGAAGTAGTTGTCGAGGAAATTCAAAAGCTTAGCGAAACCTGAAAAAAGTTTCTGAAGTGTCTAAAACACATATAAAAAACCGAAATCCGTTACATATTCATGATACTTGATTTGGCGAATAGGATGTTGTGCCATTAAAACTACCTAATATATATGACTAATACGATAAAACAAATTAAAGACTTGGTAAAATGACAAACTACAGAACTTTCAATGAAGGAAAAAAATTGATTTGAAAGAAAAAACCGTAGTTTAAAAAGTAAACCGATAAAAAGCAGCACCATACAAGATAAATGCCATTTGAAAACGGAAAAAGAACCGACAGAAGTTGAACCAAAAACCACGAATTCTAAAAAAACTCCAACTTGTTTTCAAGAAATTTATTTTAAAATAAAATTCTTGACACCTATTCACTGCACCTACGACATCTATTCACTACCTCATAAAAAGTACTTTTATGTGATTTTCCAAGAAATTGAGCATGTATTGAAACTTACCAATTTGACCATTCTGTGAACAAGGTTATAGACGGAAAAAAATGTCTGGTACCCGATTGCAATACTTTTTCTCAACGCAAGGGTAAAAACTGCATACATATCGATCCGACCCCTTCATGAAATGGGAAGGAATTATGGCGTAGGATGAGTTCGTTTTGTTCAGTTTGGGTTCCTCAAAGGTCTTAAGCTCAAGTGCGAAATAACATTAAAGCCACATTGATCTTGATTTTTTAAACCTAAAATAGTCACCCTTAACTGCAAAAAATTACAAGATTTCAAGGATACACACTTTGCTTGTTGATATAAAAAAAGCCCACTGCTTTTCAAATGGTACGGAGAAAAAAGTCTAGCTACTACCTAAACGAAGGTAGTTGTATTTGAATTTTCAAGAAATTGAGCATACATTGTTACTTATCATTCCTTCAAAAATGACCTTCTATAAACAGATTTATTTACAGGAAAAAGTTGAGTACCCGATGTCAATACCCGTGCTTATCGCAGCGCTTAACATCAGCGAAATCTTGTGAACGTAGTTGATTGCGGGGAAAACAGTCTAGTACCCGGTTGCTTATGAAAGGTAAAACTTCCTGGCAAATTTTGTTCTATTTACTAAGTGATTAATGCGTTTCAGTGATTTATTATAAATGGAGACATGGAGAAAATATTATAGTTTCAAAAGCAAAAACTTTACACAGAAGAATGCAAAAAAGCCTCGAAAGGTTCACTTGAGTTATCGTGATCACTTTACCATAGACGATCATAGTCTTGGTAATAAATACAGGAAGTTTTGTAATCAGGGGGTTGGCAGCTGTAGTTTAAAAAAGGAAGAATGCAATGAACAGCAAAAATTTTAAGTATTGGCTTCATAATTCAGTTAAATTAACCAGAAAAATAATATTTAAAATGATATTATAAAAACCGATAAAAGTACGTTTCTTTAAAAAAAATTAATGGTTGAGGTTGAAATCTTTTTAGCACTTTTCGGATCTTATTTCTCGAATATTTTATGATTGACTATGTTTTTGATAAACCTAGCCCAAAATGAGAAAACTGCAATGAAAAATCGGTTTTAATCTGCTAAGGAAAAATTACACAGGCGGAGCTGACACAATAACAACGTCTGAGTGTGGTAAGGCAGACGTCTCTAATTATGAGGGCCGGACGTTCTATTCCCTCTTAAATCACGGTTGCAGGGACCCCGGTGTCAGCAGCTCCCACGGCGAAATGTATGCCATCCCCCTCCCCAGAGATGGTTCTGCATTGAGCAGGACCGAGTGCTATTAAAAACATCACAATAACATCAAAACAAAAGAGGCAAAAGGAAAATTAACACCAGAAATGGTTACAACTTCAGAGCTTACAGGAAATTAGCTGGGATATATCGCTTTTTTATTATTTTTTTTTTTACAAATAAGCCCCCGGTCCTGCTCAGTACAGAACCAACCGTGTGGGAGGGAGATGACATCCATTTCATCGCAGCCAGTCCCACCTTGAGGAGGCGGATGACACTGAGCTCCCTTCAATCGTGACCAAAATGTAATTCGAACGCTTGACCCTCGTGTTGAGAGACGTGTGCCTAACCCACTCGGACCTATCCGTGAAGAGTTACTTGCGTTGTCCACTTCGGCGATAACGCCTTTGATTTGTAATTTTTTCATGCATACTTAGATCCAAAATATCGAGCATTTTCTGCTTTATTAAAGCTAATACAGCTAGACAAGACAAGAAAAAGCTAGAACATATGAAACTGCTTCAGCTGCGTCACTATTTGGAAATACGCAGATTTTAGGTCATCTGGTTTGCTCTATTTATCTGAAACTCGAATGAAAATTTAAAAAAATCGCAGAAGTTACTGCCAGATACTCTGAAAGTATATTAACCAACTATAACTTCCATCCACTTGGATACTAAATTATCTGTAAGAATTACACCGTAAAAAATTACTTAGAAAACCAGCAAATTCATTTTTCAAAACAATTCAAAAATATGAATCAAAAGGGTTGACCATTCTCTAACCCTTATGATTCAAAAAGCACGCGTGACAAACTCAAACAAGGCGAAGGGGTTTTCAATTATGAACCGATGTTTCAAATAATTCATGTGATTTTGTTAAACTAGTTTTTAACTTGAAAAAAGTCTATATTCCCATTTGATAACGCTTGTTAACAGCGAGCGTAATAAACCTAGGATGTAAGAAACATGAAAGCGATTCATGCGATTGAGTCTGCTGACGATGGAACGGACTCCCTGGGCGAATCTGATGAAGACAAATCCGACACCGACGATGAGCCAGCAGCTAATTCCCACATTGCGGAAACTGCCCGGGGGAAGAAAGAAAGGCGGATGAAACAGATCAGATCAGTTCCATGCGGAACGGACTCCACTTGGATAACCCCGCAAAGAGTCAAGGGAAGAAAATCGGAAGGTCGTCTACCTATGCGCGATTCGGGCGATGGAAGAAACATTGAGGAATAGTGAAAGATTTGACAAATCTTCTCGGGCGTCGAAAGGACGCTCGGAGAGCAAAAAACGAGATGGGATCGGCGATAGAAGAGAAATTGGGCCTTAAGATGCTAAGGAAACTACTTCCGTAACTTGATCGATCGATGGAAAAAGTTACTTTCGTTCGCCGAAGAAGAAGTTGACCGGGGCTGGGGCCGCATCGGAGTGCGAGGTCCCGAAGCAGTGTTGGCGTCCACCAACAGTGCTGGCAATCAGATGGAATCCAAATTTCAACTTTTAAGAGAATGCGCTAACTAATCATAATTGATCTTTTAAAAAATCTGAGAATGCCAAGGACAAATTTTTTTTAAAATCAAACGCTTCCAAAATTGAAAAAATGAAAAAGTTTCTGAAATCAAAAAAAAATTTCACCAAAATATCTTGGAATGTAATTACTTGCGCATAACAGAAATATATTGAAAAAGTTTTCAACTAAGGTGAAAAAGACCGTAACGCCTTAAATTTGATTATATATACGCCGCTGTGTCAAATAATTCAAGTGATTTTGTTAAACTTGTTAACTTGAAAAAAGTCCCATTTGATAACGCTTGTTAACAGCAAACATAATAAATCTATAAGCAATTGGAGTAATAATTATATGATTCGGTTCACTGGCCTGGAAAATAACTGATAATTCGGTTTACTGAACGCATTCTCTACTATGCGTTTATGAAATGGATAACAGAGCATAAAGAAATAAATCTATATTTGATTCAAACAAAGATCAAAACTGCTTCAAAAATGAATAGTCCCTTAATATCTACCTGCCCAGATCGACTGAAAAAAAGTTTCAATCACATCAATTATTTAATCCACTCGGCTAACAACTCTCCGTGCATTGCGATGCCAATACTAACATAACTAACGATCAATTCCTATGCAAACTTCGGACTCTTCATAGATGGTGTTTTAAATCCACTTTTCGGTTTGGATCCCTTTTTCCTGTCACTCGATTCTCCCTTCAGTTTCGAAGGTTGCGAGTCTAAAGGATGGTGTGAATGTGACTCGTTTGCTCTTCCTACTTTGTTCTGCTCGTCCTGAAGAAGAGCCTGCTTCGTGCTCACAACTTCACTTTCGATCTTCACTCGGTGCTGGTATTCTTCTTCTAGATTCGTTTTAGTTGTCTCGACCTAAAAGTTGAAAACAACTTCAGTGAGCTAGTAAAAAAATTAGAAGAGCAATTCCAACTGATCAGCTTTCTATGAAACGAATGACATGTTTTTCGTACTCATAAGGCGCAATGGTTGAGAAATATCACCGAGGACAATGTATACGCAATCGAAAACATGTCGCCAATCGAGCGATTTATATTTCTCGGAAATAAAAATAATGATAGAGAGGGTGAGGGAGAGAGATAGAGAGAGAGGATACGTAAACGAATGTTTCGTCTGTGCTTAATTTCACTTTCCTGCTATTAAGAATTTTGATGTAAACCGTTCCGCTAATTTTATTTTCTAATTGATGAGTGTGGAAGTTTATCGGACCACTTTTTGCGCTACTTTCTAAATATCACAAAACTGGGATCTAATTAACAATGCGCCCCCCCCCCCCCCCCCCCCATGGTCTCTACTTAAGATTCTCCACCCCTCTGAATAAATACAGTCAATCAGCATTAGCGCTTTGTATTGAGAAGTCTAATTTTGGTGGCCCCAAGTCAATTGGCCCTATGCCAACTTGTCCTATACTAACTTGCCCTACATGGCAACTTGTCCTATGCCGACTTGCCCCACGTGACATTTTGTCCTATGCCGTTTTGTCTCATACTTAACACTTTTACTTCATTCTTTGATGTTCAAATTGAGGACCAGCAAGTGCTAATGCACACTGGACTCGTCTTGAGATAACAAAAGACTAATAGAAAATTATTGAAGCTGAGCCTAACAAACCATAATTTTTGGTAATTACACGCCAAAATTTGAAAATAATCTACAATGAACACCTTTGAAACAAAATGAAACACGACTATTCTTTCATTTTGCTTCATTGTTTACCATTTTAGTCTACAAATCCAACATAAATACTATGGGTCAACTTACGTGGGGAATATCTCAATGAAATAAACGAACGCTAATTATTGACGGACACGATTTCACAAAAAAGCAAACGACAAAAACTACTGAGCACTGGAGATGCGCAAGATACAGTTCACACAAATGCCGCATGCTCGCCGTCACAGCAGGAGATGAACTCGTATCAACAAAAAATGAGCACAGCCACGATGTTAAACCTGGGAAAATTGAGGCAAACCAGATCATGCATCAAATGAAAAAAGAGGCCAGGCAGCAAATTGTACCTGTTAATAGTAGTATAATTGCCACTTGTCTCCAAGAAGTAACAGATGAGAAGGCAGCTGTTCAATTATCCTTGCCCTGTCGTGCAGCAATGAACAGAACTCTTAACCGCCAGAAACAGAACTTGGTACCGTCCTTGCCAATCATTAAAGACAGGCATTTCATAATTCCGACGGAATGTTCTGATTTTTGTTTATTCGACTGTGGAGTAATGGATCCTGAGCGAATTTTGATTTTCGGTGATTGAGATAATGTTCATGCCCTCCGAGTTCACAATTCTCTTTGGCTTTGCGACGGTACATTTAAAATTCGCCCAATGCAATTATACCAGCTTTATACCATACACATTCAAATCGGTGGATTTTACCCATCATGTCTTTATGCTCTTCTGCTCAACAAAACTGAACAGACGTATTCAAAATTCCTGAAAGCCATCGCCTGTCTCTGATAACGCGCAACCATCGAGGATCCTTCCAGATTTTGAACGAGCTGCCGTAAACGCTTTTACCAGTGCGTTTCCGGAGTCTTCAATCAAAGGCTGTTACTTTCACCTCTGCCAGGCCTTTTTACGCAAAGTTAACGGGCTGGGTTTAAAGAAAGCCTATGAAAACAACTGCGAGCTGAGCTTGGCACTGCGTTTAATACCCGCTCTGTTTTGTCCCAACTGATTTAGTGGAACAGTCGTTCGAGAGCGTCATTGAGGAGATTGAGCATGTGGTGGACCGATTAGATCTTGAGCAAAGCCTGTCAGACAAAATTGACGAACTTGCCTCATACTTTCAGAGAAGTTATATAAAAGGCGAAACAATAGGGCGAAACAGCAGGCAACCGTTTTTCCCTATGAGTCTCTGGAACCATTCCCAAGAAGTAGCGGAAGGCTTGATACGAACGACAAACGCCGTTGAAGGTTGGCATCTTGGAGTGACAGCATTATTTAAAGGGAGCCACCCTAATTTTGCTGTACTTTGATTGGTCGAAAATTCGACTAACTTAATCTACTTAACTATATCCCCCCTTTTGAAGGGGGAAGGGGTAGAGATTGCTAAGTAGATTGCAAAATTGGAACAATTCAATGAATTTACTTGCGATTATATTTGTCTTGAACAGTCTTTGATTTAGCCTCATACTTGAAAAGAACGGAGAGATCAAAATGGACAACAACAAATTTCTTACTAATTTTTAGTTAAGAATCTTGTTTATTTCCAGGAGCACAAATGACTCAAACTAACTGCCTCGAAAGAGAAGGATTGGGGAGGAGGGGGAGAGCTTACGGGGGGAGAATGGGAGGGAGGGCTTATTAATAGTTTAATTGAAATAATTCCCACAAACTTACCTCCATGTGAAATTAACAGCATGTTAATTTACCGAGCTTGTTAACTAATCGACTTATCTTTTCTTTCAGTCTTATTTTTCATCTTTTATTCTATTTCCAGTAAGTTCACCAAAGCAAGTTCATTTTTCAATCTGAGCCATGTTCGAACTTGAACGTTCGTGTAATAAGCGTCGTCAAATTCAACCAGGGTTGTTTAGGTTTAAATCTTTTTCTGATTAGGTGAGTTCTTTCATGCAGAACGCAAAACGAACGGCATTGGCAGGTGGTTAACGGGTAATTCATTCGAGAAGTTGCTTTTGCATAACTCTTTCATTCTTTGTGTGCACTTTTGAATCTCATCACATCATCCTTGAAAATATTTTTTGAATCGAACTTTTTAAAAAATTGAGGCTTTCAATGACGGATAGAACGGAAAATTTTGCTGAACCGACACCAACATGTGAGAAAACAAAGTTAAAAGCCCAAACTGAACGGAAAAGAGCCGGCGGGAAGTGTCTTGGAAATTCAAAAGCCCTACGCGATGACAATGCAAAATGTGAGCCGAGAAGACTTGTCAAATCCCCGAAAAAGATCGAAGCAGCGCCTTGTTTCTTTTTCGTCATCTACACCATCATCTTCATTAAGCAGTGAATAGTATTTGGTCAGGAAATGTAGGCAATAATAATTGTACTTTAAAGAGCTCAGAACGCCTATTTTTTCTGTTTCTCCTGATTCATCAACAGCACTCAATGGCCCAAACATGGAAAAAATCATGAACTCGAAGGCGTTGATAGTGGGTTCGGTGAAGGCGGTCATGTCGCTAAGTACAACCAGATAAGTCTCAACAGATTTAAAGAGTTGAGAATCCTGAAGAGCCTGATGAAGCCACAGACAAGCAGAGTGCGACAACTGAAAATCTAGAAAAGTAATCATTCAATATTGTATTTTGAGCCAGTAGAAGTCCGGTCAAGGCAAATTTTGCCGATGGTGTTTAATCGGATGAATTAGTCATACCTAGAATAAACCTAATCATTGACGAGGCGCAAGAAGTACCTCTCAAATGGCGTAGACAACAATTTCCTTTCAGACAGAGATTTACTCTAATGATCAATGATGTCCAGGGTCAGATATTGAAGAGCGTTGCTGTGTGGTAAAAAAATACCGGTACTTTCGCAAGTTCAGCTTTTTACAGCAGCTTCTCTGGCATCACTCAATCACTCATCCAAACAAAACTATGTTTTTCCTAAAGAAATGCGATGAACATCGTTTACCGTGAGGCAAGAGTGTAGCTAATTCATGATTTTGATAATTTTGCTGAATCGTTAAAATTCTTTGAAGTTGCGTTAATGTTATTTTATGTTTAAAATACTTTTCCTAGTTTTTTTTTCTTCTTGACAGGACAGACATGAGGCCTTAGACATGGTCATTCAATTTTAAGAAGAGTAATTTGAGATATGCGAACGGAGAATTTTTCTTAACGGAGAATTCGGTAAACCTCAAAATCCTGTTCTTTTGAGTTTTAAGGGGCCTACTGGTAACTTTTCAATTTATCGAACGAAAAAAATCACATTACTAATAAGTGATTACGTCGAGGTTCTAAGTCATCGAGACGTTCGAGGTCAAACTTTACAAAAAAGAATTCTTCATAAAAATTAAACAATTTTCGCGGCACATCAAAGCTTTTTCAGCGTCTGATCGAAGTTGCGGCATGAAAAAAGGGTGTCCCACTCTATAACCCCGCGATATTTAACCCCTATGTTTACACCCCCTATATTATAACCCCCTAACATGATAACCCCACAACAATTTAACCCCCTTTTAATGACGATAATTTGTTTCAAATGAAGTCCTTTTTATAAGTACAGGAGTAGTCCAATTAAGTTTACTAATTGATGCCTGCAAAGCTAGTCTTAATACACTTGATGCCCCTAGCATCTCAAAAATAATTTAAGTTTATGAACAACTTGCAATGCAGTAGTTTTTAAATTCTCAAAAAAATTTCATTAAATTGACAAGCGAACTCTACTTCCTCTGTAAAAGTTAATAAAGCAAATAGTAAATAACCATTTTAAAGGAACTCACGAGTTGTCACTGCTAATTACCTGAGCCTCAACAGCAGCTAACACTGACTCGCAGTTGTCACTCCATTTGATCAGAACTTCCACCATCCTGCTCAAATCCTCCTCCCCTTTAATATCTCTGGACACAGCCGATTGGACCCTCAACACTCGACTCTTCTGATCCATTTTGGCCTAAAACAGAAACAGATGATGATTTTGGCGCTAAAATTAGAGCTTTTGAGGCGGATGAAAATTTAAACTTTGGTATGTTACTATCCTACCATTTGGTATCCTATTCATTTGGTATGTTACTATCCTATCTAGTTAACGTAAAATTAAAGTAAAAATTTACGCATAGATCTGTTCTATTAGTTTTAACCCAGTTTGAAAGAAATGTATTTCACAGAGGCGAGGCGGAGCTTCGCACCACCTGCAGTACATTGCAGACACATCACGGCGATGGAAAAGTAGCAAACAAAAATATCGAAAGTCAAAGAGATATGAAAAGAAATAATGTCAAAAAAAAGATCTCTCAGAAGTTTGATAACCAGATTTGCCTCAATTGAAACTCATTTTGAGAAGAGCATATCAAGAAACACAAGTATCAGCGTGAAATAAGCATGAAAAAATACGAAGCGGTAACTAGGTCGACAATATTAGGGAAGACGCTCGTTGCGCCGAAAATAGAAACTTGAACTAACAATTTGAATTAAAATTATTTTAGAATGGAAATCTATTATCATGAAAATATATTTTCCCTACAAACGACTGAATTTCAATTAAATAAGCCAATATGATACAAGCCGAAAATTTTGTACCGAAAAAAATCTTAGAAGAAAAAAATTAATATTTTCTGAAAAAGTTATTATATCTGAGAGCCTCCCCTACAAAAGAGCCTCCTCTACAACAAAAATCACAAGCAATAACCTTGATTAACCCGTAGTATATCGAATCTATTATCAAATCCTCCAAATCTCTCACAGATTCAAACTTCAATTCTTTGAACAGCAAATCATAACTGATCGATTTATTCTCATTGGCAAGCGACACTAGCGTCAAACATTGCAATTTGCGAACCGAGGCAGCATCTAATTCAGGGTGTATTTTCGGGTCGTAATCTGAAAGTCTTCCATATGCAAAGATGTTTAATAATTCATACAGCGGAGCGTGATTTCCATTTTTGAGCTCAATTATGTTGGGTAGTGTTAGGATTTCACCAAATACGAATATCTGTGGGGAGGCCATAGCTCGCTTGATCATGGCCACCAGAGCCTCGCCCTTGTGAGATTTGGACATGATTCTGAATCTCTCCAGAGCGGGGTTGTTGAACCCGGTCTCCAAGTCAGCAGTCATGAAAAACTGAAAATTAAAAAATGCAGTCGCAGACGAATATTCTGAACTAAAAAATGCATAGGAAGCATATTACAACCTTGCCTTGGTCTGATGCATAGGCCTTTCAATTTAATCGGATTGGATTTTTAGGCTATACACCCGAAAACCTATGATCACTAAAACACAATCATCGTTGCCTATGAACAGAAAACAATTTGAACAGAAAACCGTGATCAGCAAATTTCAATTTAATTCGATCATCCTTATTGAAGACAAAACATTTAAAAATTAAGGGGAAAATAATTTTATCTTCTCCATATTTTCAAAGTTTTGTCTTTGCTTCCCGTGGCTACGCATTGACCGTCAGGTGACCAATCAATAGCATACACTTGATCTGCATGTCCAGGCAAATCTAACAGAAGTTTACCCTCCTGCCAGAGCTTTATCGTCGAATCTTCACTAGCCGATGCAATCAATCTCGAATCTGCCGACCATGCTAATTGATACACACTTGCTACATGGCCTCGCAAGGAGTACAAAAATTTTCCGTCTTTTCCATTCCAAACTTTTATCGACTTATCAAAGGATGCGCTAGACAGCAATCGACCATCCGGACTGAATCTAACATCGTTGATTAAAGCTTGATGACCAGTCATTCGATTCAAAGGTTTCGGACTCTTTAAAGGCTCCCACAGAAACAACGTGAAATCGTCAGACCCTGACACCAATCTTTCCAAATTTGTTTTACAAAAATCTTCATACTTGTTAAACGCATCTGATTTCAACTTTTCAGCCTCAATTTTATCGAAACTTGTGGGCAAAATTGATGCGTCTTTGGGTTCAAAAGCTCCTATTCTTGTTACATAATCGGAATTCAAAGCAAGAGTATTCACCCAATGGCCATGGCCTTGCAATGTCTTTTTAACTTGGCCGTTAGAAGGATCCCAAACTTTTATAGACCTGTCCTGGGACGAAGTGTAAATAACACCCTGACCAGACCATTTGACACAGGTAACCGACTGCAAATGACCTGACAAAACAAAATCACATAGCATCGTTTGACTATTCCAAATTCGACAATCGCCGTCTTTGCTCGAGCTGACAAATCTCACACATTCGCCGTTAAGATGCAAAGGTTCCCAAGCAATACAAGTTATAAACTGTTTATGCCCAACCAACTTTTTACCCATCTGAGATCCGTTTGAAGCATTCCAAACCATGACTTCGCCTCTTTTGCAGCCAGATGCTACCTTGAGCCCATTTGGCGCCCAAGCCAGTGCCAAAACCCAGTCCGAATGTCCTGAGCAAGTATTTTTAGGGGTCTCAGTATTCAGATCCCAAAAGCGTACCGTTGTATCACCAGATCCCGATGCTAGTTGGGATCCCGTGGGTGAGAATGCTACGTGCAAAACAGGCTGAGAGTGACCTTCTAACGTCGAAGTGCATCGAGCTACAGCTCTAACTCTGAACACGGCTTGTGCGTGGTAAATAACGTCTATCGGTTTTTCAACATTAACTGTTGACCAGTCAATAGTTTTCTGCAACGAACTCAAAACTTCTTTGTCGTCTATGTAAAACGAGTAAGGCACTTTAAAGGAGTCTTTGTCTTCCTTACTGGTACTTTTCAAGATCGAGTAAAGAATCTCAGTGAGTTGCTGCTTCGTGGTTGAAACAGGGACGTCAAATGATTGTGGATTCAATTCGCCAGATTCATCTAGGAGATTCACAAGTAACCGTGAGTCTTCCGTTATTCCCAGACGTTCCATCGGATGTAAGGCTCTCTTCATTGCGAAACAATGTTCAAGTTAAGTTCTAGGCAAAATTTACAAAGTTCTCAAACAATCTGAAAGACAATTGAGATCTAACAACCAATTAAATTTCCGTTCTCCTATGAACTCTCTTAAGCCTTTCGCATTCTAATTATATCATTGGTTATTTTCTTGGTAATCTCGAACAACTTGATACTCATAGCGAGAAAAAGGTAAAGAAAAGGAGGTCTAACAATGGTGAAAACAAATTCAATCTACTACGAAGGTGAAGACGATTTCAAAAGAAGCCAATTTTGAACGAACGAAGAGATAGTTTCAATATTATTTTGCACATCGTCTGAACAGTTTGATTGCAATTCTAGAACTATTTCTGCCTTATATGAAGACTGCGCTTCTTCCAAAATGGTCTGAAATATCTCACTGTCCAGGTTAGAGGAGAGTTTCTTTTCGCTGTATCCCCTGGATTTCAGTCTGTCGTAAAGTGCTTCAGTTCCACAACGTAGAACGACAACTAAGTCGAACCATCTCTCGGGGAAAAACTCGCAACCATGGTAGTCCACGATATTACCTAAACGAAACATACTCACAAAACGAAAAACAATATCTCACTTTGCTCACGTAATCAAGTTATACTTTTCCAAGATCTTCCAAAAAAATACTATCAAAAAAGACTTGCCGGTTCCGACCACAGTAAATTTAAACAATCGAAAAAACAAGATGTTTTTTCAAATTTGCGTCAATTTTTTTGTGCGCGCAGGGAGGGAAGGGACAAAACTAAGCTACGAAATACTAACACTGGTGTCAAGCTTACAACAGTTATGGACGCAGAATTCAGAACAAAAGCGAATTTTTTTCTAGTTACTTTTTGTTCCGACCATTGAAAATGTGGAGGAACTTTGGATTCGGGTTGTTTTAGTTTTTTTTTTGTTTTCCACGCAAAAACTATCTACCATAAATAATCATCGGACAGGGTTGAGTGATATATCATATTGAAGCCCTTTCAGTCGTGATTCGAACTACATTAAAAATTTAAAAAAGTTTCCATAGTGTCAAGAAAAACCTTTGAAATTTTTGATTTTTGGTCTAATTTCGAGCTAATTAGCCAGGAGTTAGTAATTGCAATAGCTTAATTAAGCTTAATTCAAGCCGTGAAAACTTAGTATTACTGAAAAAAGGAAGTTTTTCAGCGCAATTCCGGGAATCAAAAACTTGAAAATTCAAGAAATTTTGAAAAAAACTTTTTCAATTTTTTTTTTCGTTTTTGTAGTCGTTTTTCTGCAAAAGTTTTCAAATGACCTATTTTACTATGACTCTAAAATATGCCTACATTTTGTTTTTTTTTCGTTTAGATTTTATTTTTTATCACATGCAGAAAAAACGACACCAGTTTGAGAAAACATTTTTGTATTTTTTTTTATTTATGCTTATTTGTGCTTAATTCAAGCCTTGAAAAATTAGTTTTACTCAAATGAAATTAGTTTTTGCAGTTTTTAGCTTCATTATAGGAATAACAAAACTCAAAAATTTGGGATAAAATTTTTGAAAAAAAATTTCTTGTATTTTTTTGTTTTTCTTGTTATTTGTCTTTAAAAATTGTTTTCCAATATGCATATTTTACAATGACTAGCGAAACTGCCTAAACTCTACTTTTTCGCTCAGATTCTTTTTTCCACACCACGCCTAAAAAATTGCACTTATTTGAAAAAAATAATAATTTTGTAATTTTTCAAGACTGGTCGGAATATTCTGTGCTTCTTGCACAGTAACCGACTATCCTTGTTTATAATTTGATTTTTTTGACATTTCTATGGCGTGAAGCGCTCTAGCTGAGTTTCTTTTCAAAGTTCTTTTAAGCTTTAAATTAAAACTACGCTCTCCATTTGCTTGGTTTGCACGCTAAAAATTAACAAATAATCAAAATTACTTCTGTGTGACTCTCGCATCTACGATGCGCCAAAAATATTTATTAGGAAAATCAATAAATTCTCAAATGAGATTCTTGTTCAAATTAGAATCCCATTGAATTAGTTATTGAATTTCAGAAGGGCATCATTTGCTGTCTTCTGACATAAATAAAATACAACCATCAATCACAATTTGCTTAACAACTGCTAAAATGTTATTTAAAAATGATGAAAATCGTCTACCTCAAAAAGGTTTGAGCAGTTATATCAACGCATAACACTTGTTTACAACAAGGATAATTAATAAAAGAACATCAACTAGACCATTTTTTGAATATTCACTGGAAATAATTGAAAAAAAAACAACAACAAATGCCATTTCTTGAAAACCAAAAACTTTTGGTTTACAATCACCGGGAGTATCCTGACAACAAAATGACTAAAAATTTGCTTTCAATTGGTCATTTTAACAAAAAACGTTCTTTAATATTCGAATAGAACATTTACAACACTTTGACTTCAGTAAACATTTGAAACGTCGCAAAATGTTGGTTGTATAACAGGTGGCTATAAAGACTTTCGAAATATGTGTCGAGAAACACCAATGAATTACAGATAGATAGAAAGATGGATACATAAACAAAACCAACATTTCGGAAATGTTCAAATGTCAATCCAATCAAGATTGAAAGGGCTTTAATATGATATATCTATCGCACGACCCCGTATAAAGTTTCTCGTTTATGATTTTTTTGCAAGAAAAATTTGAAGAAAAAACTGGAATAAAAAGAAATACAGGAATACAAAATTCCTCTCCTAACTCTGTGGTCGAAAAAAAAACACATTTTTTGCAATTAACTTTTAAAACGAACGTAAGAATTAATGTTATTGGTAGTAGCCAGCTATATCAAAGACTCTGAGGAAGAGCTTCCTAAATAGAAACTAGAAAAAAAGGAAACAACGGAATACAAAGTTCCTCCCCTTCTCACTTTCAGCGGTCGGAACAAAAATTTATATTTTCAGCGATTAACTTTATAACGAATCTAATAATTGAAGTTATTTTAAATTGCCAGATATGTCATAGACTCCGATGGAGAGCTTGCTAACCGAAAAACAGTGGGACACAAAGAAACACCGGAATACAAAGTTCCTCCCCTCTTCACTCTCAGCAATCGAAACAAAAATTTGCATTTTCAGCGATAAACTGTTATAACGAATGTAATAGTTAATGTTCTTGTTGGTATGTCAACGAATCTGAGGGAGAGCTTGCCAAAGAAAAAATGTGGGAAAAGAAAGAAACACCGGAATACAAAATTCCTCCCTTCCTCACTTTCTGCTGTCGAAAAAAAATTTACATTTTCAGCTATAAACTTTTTTAACGAATGTAATAGTTAATCTTGTTGTTAATAGCCAAGTATGTCATAGACTTTGAGGGAGCTCTTGCTAAAGAAAAAACTGTGGAAAAAGAAGAAACACTCAGTTCGGAGCAAAAATTTATATTTTCAGCAATTAACTTTTATAACGAATGTAATAGTTAAAGTTATTGTTAGTAGCCAAAGAAAGAAAATAAACTTCTCCGGTCATTCATTACATAAATTTGGCAATTCATCGTTTTAAAAAATTATTAAAATGAGACTCGGAGAGGATAGACAACGGGGCCATATGGCCCACAAACGCTTACCCTAGCTATGCATGCTTCTTTCACTATCAGGAAAAGATTTTTTTTTAAATGTTTTTTAGAATTTGTTGAAAATTTGTAATTTCATCCATATCTCCTAAGATACGAGCATTTGGACGGTCAAGTATTGTCATTTTTATCCGAAGCCTATACTGTACCTTCGTTAGCAGGCAACCGCCAGTAAAAAAAGAAAAAAACATAAATTTAAATTTAAATTTTTTTTTAAATTTATTTTCTTCAAAATCGTCCATATCTCCTAAGCTACGAGCATTTGGACGGTCAAGTATTGTCATTCTAATCAGAAGCCTATATTATACCTACGTAAGCAGGCAACCACCAGTAAAAAAAGAAAAGATAAAGAAAAATTTAAAATTAGATTTTTCTTTTTAAATTTAAAAAGAATTTTTTTTTTAAAATCGTAAAATCGTCCATATCTCCCAAGCTAGGAGTTTCTTTAAGGTCAACTTTTAGCGTTAGAACCTCAACCTTAAGATATACAACATTAGCAACCAACTACGGGTTCACTAAATTTTCTACTTAATTTGAAAATGTAATCGAATTAGATTTTTTTTCCAAGTTTTTGAGTATTTTTTTTAAATCGTAAAATCGTCCATATCTCCTAAGCTAAGAGTTTCTGGAAGGTCAAATTTTAGCGTTAGAACCTCAGCCCTAAAATACACGCCCGTCAGCATGTAAGCACGGGTTAAATAAATTTTTTCTTTTTATAATTTGAATATGTAATCGATTAACTCTTCATTTTGCACTAAAAATACAGTTTTAAATGATAAGCTTGGTAGCACGATATCGAAAGGAAAACCGATCGATTTTTTTCTTACAAATGGGTTCAGCTAATAGTTCTGTTTTCGACAGTCTCGTGGCCCTTGTTTTCTTTTCAAAGGAGAACAGATTGTTTAAAAAACTTTGAGAGAGAGATTTTGTGACAGCACGAACTTGGAACTTGAGTAGTTCGTAAACATGAATTTCAAACACCGATAAGAATTTATTCTCTAGAAAAACATCACGAGAACTATCGCTACGCTTTCGAAAATAGATGAATTTAGGAATTTTCTTTTGCAGTAGAAATAAACATTCAAGCGAACTGTAGCTACAACAACCGCATATCAAAATTCCGTATTGAATGATAGGAACCACATTACTTCTATAGTATTCAAGCAATTGGTTTCGTGGCGCATAATGTCTTAGTTTCGATAAAATCCACCATTGTTTTCCGAGTCTCATTTTCACCGAATCGATATGACTTCGAAATGATAATTTATAGTCAATATATAAACCCAGATATTTACAAACAGGTTTATTAATCACCTCTGAGCAATTAAGTGTGAAGTTTGAATTGGAAGCACTTTTTATGTTCATTTGTATTGTCTTATCGTTATTTATAATTAGCTTATTTCCATGTAAGCAATGGTCAAGATGACGAAGATCATCTTTAATATCTATAATCTGGCAGCCTATAGCAATTATTTTGGTGTCATTTGCAAATAAGATTACTTCTGCTGTTTTACATGTCACGGGCAAATCATTAATGTATATAAGGAAAAGCAACGGTCCTAAAATCGATCCTTGTGGGACGCCGCATTTTATCTTTTTCAAATCTGAAGAAACACCATTTACTTGAACTCGTTGTTGACGATCGTTGAGGTAGGACCTAAACCATTTTCAGCAATTGCCTCTAAGGCCATATGCATCAAGTTTCGTCAGAAGTATTTCATGATCAAGAGTATCAAAAGTTTTTCTTGAATCAAGGAAAAAACTATAAGCCTCCTTAAACGAGTTTTTAAGTCTTATTTTTTCAGTTAGCTCAACAACTGCTTCTATTGTACTATGCTTTGATCTGAACCCAAATTGCTTGCTATACCACAGAGCGAACTTTTCCATGTATGCGTAGATTCGATTATACATTGTTCTTTCGTATACTTTGCTCCATACAATAAGTAAAGAGATTGGCCGGTAATTATTTTCATCTAATCGGGAATTGTCTTTATGATCAGGAATTACTTTTGCTTTACGCAAAGCAGAAGGAAATGTGCCTTTTTCAAAAGAAAGGTTGACTAGAAACGATAGAAATGGGGAAGTAACGTTTTTAGATGCTTTCACTATTTGATTGCTAATTTAGTCATCCCCGGATGTTGATTTGTTGTCTAATTGACAAATAAAATCGTTGATTTCTGATGGCGTTGTTCTGTATAGAAACATTAACCAATTTTATTTAGGTACTGGAGGTGGAGATACATTTGGAATATCTGTTTTAGAGTTTTCACCAATGTTGATGAAAAAATCATTGAATCTATTTGCTACATCTTTCTCAGTTGGATTATCATTTAATTTTTGGCAAGATTCAAGAATGGGCACTTTAAAACGAGATATAGATTTTCCATTTAGCTCATTAAGTAATTGATATGTTTGTCTTGAGTCACCAATACAATTCTTAAATTTATTCCAATAAAATTTTCGTTTTTTCATTTTGACCGCTTGTTCGAATTTTTTTCTTAGATTAGTAAAAGTATTCAATAAAGTACTATTTTCAGTGTTTTTTTCCAGTTTCTGTGGGCTTTGTTCCTCTTTGTTCTAAGATTTCTTAACGCGTTGTTGAACCATGGTGGACGTGGTTTCTTGCTAGGGTTAATTTTCTTGATTGGCGCATATCGGTTTATCACTTTTTCAAAGATAGATTGAAAGCTGTCAAAGGCTTGCTCGGGATCTTCCATTAGAAGAATCCCATTTTCATTCGCTTCGAATGATAGTTTTAAATCTTTGAGAAAAAAACTCAGCTTTGATTTGTATTTTAGAAAATTGGTATCTCTAAAAGTGTGTTTAGAATCTGAAGAAATTTGTTTTACTGGCCAGATGATTAGGATCGGATAATGATCAGCAATTTCTTCATACTGCATGACTTTCGTTCTAGCATCCGATAAATTCTTATAGATAAAGTGATCGATACATGTAGATGATGTTGCTGATACGCGAGTCGGTTCTATACCAAAAATTTCAAACCCATTAGAAATGATGCCATTTATGTAGTTAGTTGAAAGCTGATTATCCAGTAGCGTATTGATGTTAAAATCTCCACATATGAGGACCTTTTCCGATGTTGAATTATTCATTTCCAAGAAATCTTCAAGCTGATTAACGAACTGCAATTTGTTTGTTCTAGGTGGGTAGTAAACAACACCAATTTTCAACCGAAAAAAGTTTTTCTCGACCTCAGCAAAGATCGATTCTTCAAATGGTGTTTCCAGTTGCTTGAGTATCTTCACGTGTTCCTTAACTTGGATCATAACCCCTCCTCCCCTTACATTAGTGCGGTTTTTTACTAAAAAATCATAATATCCATTAACAAGATATCCTTTATACAAGAGTTATCATTATCATTAAGCCAAGTTTCACTTAAGCAAATAATATCTGGTGGTGACTCAAGACTTAGTATAAGTGCTTCCAAATTTTCAAAGTGCGGTTTTAGTGACATGGTGTTCAAATGCACAACTGAAAAATCATTATTAGCATCAGATAAATTGGATGACACAGAATTATGGTTAGGTACCAGTTGACTGTTCGACGCGAAAAGCACCTTCTGACATTGTGCCTGGTGTTGGCAAAACATTGTAATTAAGGGCTGGGGTAGTTAGCTTTAACGCTGCAAGGATATGAGGAACAATTGCATTTACAATTTCACTTGCGATCGATTGAGTTTCTACATTCTCCTCAAGGGGAGAAATATTTATCTTTCGCTTTTTTACGGATCGTCGCATAGGATTATTCGCTTTTGCTTCGTCATTGGAAGTTGACAGTTTTGGTGTTTCTATAACATCATCAGCCCAATTTAATTGAGTGGACTCTTTCGGCTTTCTGGTTTCAGTTAATGTTCCAGTTACTGCATGCAATTCAGCTTTGGTTTTCACTTTTACGGGGTTAGGATGTGGATTGTTAGGGTTATTAGCATACACATCTTGTTTGTGAGTATAACATGGGATACTATTGGCTATCGCTTCTGATCGAATTGCTCTGTCGCGAGGGGACAAGCATTCTTCGATAAACACTGGTTGTCCTTTATTGTTCCGGAAATTTTTCAACCATGATCTGCGCCTCCAAACAACGTGAAGATCCGCATGATATATGAATTTCACAATTACAGGCGCATTTGTTCCAGGTTTCAAAGGATGACAGGCGGCAATATTATGTCTGGGAATATCAATCGACATGATGTTACTCATAATTTGCAGGATATCGCCCATTGTGTCTGCTGTGATATCAATGTTGGAGAAAGTCAGGCATAACTTACGAGAGTACTTCTCAAGATCTACGACTCTTTCGGATACATCGTAAATTTCGTTCTGATTTTGTATGATCCTTTTCTCAAATTCCGATTGATCCGCCTTCAAGTTTTTGATCTCTTTGCTTTGCTTGACTACTATATTGACTAACTGTGTAATTACTTCAAGCAATTTTGGATCTCCCGATAGTCCTTGTGTTTTCCCCAATAATTCACTTGTTTCGTCTCGTTCACAAAGGTCAACTTGGTCAAAAAATAAGATCATCATCGCAGATAGATTGATTATCATTCATTATCTCAAACTATTTAATAAGTTTATCACAACAATTAGGCCAGGTATGTCATAGACTCTGAAGGAGAGCTTGCTATCATCTGGTTTTACAGTTCTCGGCTCGTCGTAACGGGTTGAATATGTTAAATCTTTCCAATTTATAAAAATCTTGTTAACAAACTCCCCTTCTATCGCGCCTAGTATTCATGGACACCTTTGCAATAGGGGTATTGTTCCCAAGACCTGTGTATTTCATTGTCATCTCCACACTTACCACCCGGGTGCATCATCGGCTCCATTTCATCCAACAGGAGATCCTCATTCAACACGTGACACTCATACTCCTCGTCCCACTCGTCGAAACAAGAATGATCGCTCGCTATTTGACCCACATTCACATAGCTGTACTCAGATGAACCCAAGTGCTCCTAGATCAATGAACAAAAATCTATCAAGTAGCAAACCAAAAGATGATACTGCTGTTTAAAATACATCGTGAATTTTACTGAATGCATTTTTACCGCGTTATGTACAAGTAATCGCGTAAAAATACGTGTACTCGCGTTCAACTTATATTTAATTTAGATAAATATGTTCAATTTAAAAGACAATTATCCTCTTAAATTTTAGACACAACTGAACTGCGTCTAAAGAGATCTAAAGAGATATAAGTTTCCATATTAAGAGATTTAACAAAAATTTCTGTTCTTTACTTCAACGAGGCGGATTGGTCAAAGCGATGATTAGAGAAAAAAAATATCGAAGATGAAAATGAAATTTTATGGGAGCATGAAAGATACCTGCAATGACTGGGCTAGTGTGCTCTTTCCAGTGCCAGGTGTTCCACAGATCAAAATATTAGGCAGGGTGCGAGTTTGCGAAGTAGTATTATCCTCCATTTTAAATCAACATTTAACAAATATCTGCAGGCAAATTTAGAACTCAAGAATAGAACAAAATTTCAAAGTTTAATCTATATACTAGAGAGAGAACGAAACATCGGATAGCAAGAACCTTTAAACCTCACTAAAAATAGACTAATTTAGAAAATATATTATTGTCATATCCTTTTTCGAACTGAAAAAGAAATTGAATAAGTTTACGACTGTTTCTTATGGCAAAAATTGTTGCCCTTTATTAGACGCTCGGACATAATCTCCGATCAACGTCGCCTCTCGCATTAACAATATTTCGTACAGTCACTCGACTTTGAAGAATTGCAACATTTCAATTCTCTTTAAGCGATAGTTTGAACCGTTTGCCCAATACGTGGAATTCGACTCAGTTTGGCCTCTGGCGCTTCGCATCTGGACCTTCATTGGCTGACCCCTCGCCAGATTCAGTTAAGTTCTCATTCTTTATATCCAGTGTCGATGCCCGCAAGTTAACTGGGACATAATTATTCATCATTGAGTTCAACAGCCCGTCGATTCTGTGGATCTGAAACGAAGTCACCAAACGGCTCTTCTCAAACTCTTTCTCATCTTTGGACGAAATACAGCGAATGCCTCCTATACTTGTACTACCAGATCCAGAAATACTACTACTTTCGGACTCATCTTTATCGTTCTCAGAGGACAGAAGATCAGTTGAGGTCAATTCTTGGAACGCTTCGTTCAAATAATCACACGAAGTCGCAAGTCTCGAACTCAAAATTCTGTTCAAATCAGGCGCTCTGTAAACATCACCAGCTATTATGTAATAGTTCGCAATCGGTGTGACCTGCGTCGGACTGTGACGCTTCCTTTTTTGGACTACGAACAGAATCGGTGCCTCTTCATAAATCAAATCGTACTCTAATCCCTGCATTGTTCTCAGTAGATCCATCGGTTTGTTGTGAGGATGTTTAAGGAGCTCATTATTAGACCTTCGATCATAAAAGGGATTCGAGCGCTGGGTAAAATACATCATGACGTTTGCACGAGTGAGATTAGACACTAGAGCTACGTCGTGCCAGGACTTGACAAACTCGCTATTCAGTTCGTTCAAAACTTCAGATGGGGATGTTTTGGTGATTTGATTTGAAGTGTTTGTACTCATTTTATTATCTTAAAATGCCAAAATGAAACATTACCCTCGTGAGAACCTCCGGCAACTTTTTACTATCGCTACGAAGATCAGAGATCAGGAATCAACAATTTTGATCAAACTGCACGAGAAGCTTGAAAACTCTCCCCTGTTCTTCGATGGAAACAACTGCTGAGATTGATAAGCTGTATAAGATACATTTTGTCATTTTTAAAGCCAAAACAAAGTATTACTTAAAACTGAATAAAAACGCAAAACTCGAGGAACATTTGGTTTCAGATGCCCTGCTATATCAAAAATTGCTGGACAATTATTGGAAAACTTTTTTGGTCAACTATTATGTCGTCTCATCCTGGACTTTAATAATGTGCTAACAGTTGCCCACTTTTGGCTAGCCGAATAAAAAGTAGACAAGTCACTTGCTTTCGCAAGTGAAAATAATATATTGAATTTCCTCAAAATCGCAAAGCGATTTCATAAACTACGATAATAATTAGTTTTTATTTACATTAGCCACATGGAAATGAACTTTCAATAGGCTGTAACCATTTCAGGCGAATCATTATCTTGATTTGACATTTTGACCGCGTTCCACAAACTTCGAATATTATTCTCACCGAAGCCTCTTATAGCACCCGTCCTCTGAATGATTTCCAGGAAAAAGGTTCTCTCATTCGGGAAAATAGGCTCGGTGAAAACTTGTAACAAATAGCTTGGCTCACGCGAATCAGATTCGAAATCCAACAATAAATTATTCTGTTCTAATAAATTGGCAGATATACCTATTCCATCAACGTAATTTCTCCATTCTCTATCGTTGTAGTATTGTGCAGGCACTTTCAGGAATTTAACTCCTCGTAATTTGAGATCTTCGCATGTAGCAACAATATCATTAGTGTGCAATGATATATGCTGGACTCCTGAATGATTTCCGTTATTACGGATGAACTCGCAGATTTGGTCTTTTCCCTTTGGATTGAGAGAATCAGCCATGATAATTTTGGTCTTCAAACTTCTTTCGTGAAGCGAAAAGTCAGCACACTTTGTGAAGTCCATAGCCTTCATCCTTAGTCCTTCTCCTGAACCTGCTTCTACTTTCATACCAATATTTTCAGTTTCATTTCGCGAAATTAACACTCGGTCAAACCCCAATTTTTCTGTATGAAACTTAACGAGATCTTCCATCAGTTCGTCTGCCACAGCCAATAAAATGTGATCCAAATTTGAAAAATGTGATGAATTGTCAAAACTTTGTTTCGAGGACGATGAAATTTGAGATGGTTGCTCACAATAAACGTATGAAAACCCTTTACAAGGAGTTGGCACAAAATTTAACAGGTTTTCGTTAATCGGTGACCAGCTGAAAAAACTAGTATTATCAGCAAAATTTTTAGAATATTTTCTATTCACATCAAAAGTCAAGTTAACAACTGAATTCAGCCGACCGTAATAAGACTCGTGTAGCTTCTCGGACATGGCTTCTTCGGGTATATTATACAGGTCGTTCAAAATAAAGTGTTTGTTATGTTTATGCCATTGATTCGATTTGTTTTCGATTCGCTTACATTGACTGACTACAAACTGTGAAGGTCCACAAGCAAAAGCAGTGTGAATTCCATTTGGCGTGCTTTTAGACCACAACTCAGGCAGCAGAAATTGCTTCGAAAAAAGATTTCCAAGAAACTTGTGACAGTCTGAGAGGATGTTGACATGCTTTAAGTAGCCAGCCGACATCTGAAACCATTTAATGTTTAACCTGATTCAGTTGAGAAAATGGAGAAAAAATGCTAGCGGAATTTTGCTTCTTTCATGTCATTCCCAACAACGTTTACATCTGCACACGTTTCACCAGCGCAAAAAATATATACAGAGGCGAAGCGGATATTCGCACCATTTGCGAAACGATTGGGAGAAAAATCAAAAAATAATAGAAGTTTTAAAAAATTGAAACTGCCGAACACAGACGAAGAAGCGAAGCTGAATTTGCCCCAGCTGCGATAAACAAATGAATGACTATAATTAAAAATCCAAGAAAAAGAAATATATCCCAAAATATCAGGAACAAAATTGCATGCATCATTAGAAACTTTACAAAGAGCTTTTGGAATGCTAAAAAGAAACCGATTTTTCAAAAAATCATTTCTGAGGAACTAAGTCGACAACAAAAAGCAGAAAGACAACAATCTAAATTAGCCGAGCCGAAGTTTTCAATTTACAAAAAAAAGTTCTCGGCTAGAATCAAACTCCAGGGCTTCGTCGTCTCAAGCTTGGGTGTTACTTGGAAGAAAACTGAACTGCCAAAAAAAGTCGGGTTACGGGAACTAAGCCGACAAAAATAAGCCTTTGCCGTCTCAAGCAGATACGTTATCTCTATGACATATGCTTCAGATGGTACTTTGATTTTGATTTTATAATGAGCAAGCGGTAACAAAGCCGAAAATATCTGCGGAGAAACCATTCATGCCGTCGAAACTGATTTAAAAAAAATTTAAGTCCACTTTTCCCTAAAAACACACACACACGCACACAAAAAGTTTTTGTTCATCGAACTATGCCATAAGAGACCATTTAGTCTATATAAAATAAGCCGAGACCTATTAAGACAAAAAATTCATAAGATAATAAAATAAATTTTAACAAAAAGAGTTGCGAAAATTACAATTAGCCCGGATATTCAAAATGCTAAAATTAAGTCGGTTGCAACAGAAGACTCAGAAGATGAATGAGTCAAAGAGGAGTCTGGAGGCCCCTCCCTCTCAAAACTCAACGACTCTTCGGTAATCAAACGACTCAACATAAGTCAACTACGTTGATAAAAAAAATAGGACGAAATAATTTGGGTAGAATAAAGTTTTTAAGCATTAAAAAAGAAGTCTAGGTTATTGAAGGCACATACTCGAATAATCTGATTGCCTTTTACAATATGTTGAATTTTTTTTGGTAAAAAAAATGACCGAGAAGAAAAAGAGCTTGGCACCAGTTGCGATACAAGAAAAATCTTACGTTACAAAATAATATGTGAAAAATTTAATTGAAAAAATCATTGGAAACACCTAATTAAGAATGGTGTATCGGATGATATTAAGAACAGCCTTAAAAAGCAAAGGGAATCATTAACCGAGCAGCAACTAAAGGTCGACCGTATCTGATCGTATACGAATATGGTTTGCTTTCAAAATTGCGCAAAATGCGTTGACTAAGCCAATATAACATAAACCAAAATCAGTTCATCGAAATCAAAACGAAAAAAAAAATTAAACAGGTTTACTCAAACTCATATTTGGTAAACTTACAAATTACTGAACTTTCAATTACAGTAACTGTTTGAAACAAATCCATGCTTTAGAAAGTTAGACAATAAAAAAAACCGTACCAGATAAAATTAATGGCATTTTAAAAAACGGAAAAGGAACCGACGGAAACTCAACGTTAACAATGTTTCTGAAAAAAACTATTACTATCTGAGACGAACTTCAGCTAATTACTACATGATCGCAAGGGTACAAAAATTAGTTTTTAAGACATACAAAGACAAAAGAAATGAGCATCGGAAAAATTTATCAAGCGGTAAAAACACCGAAAACACCTGAGCAGAAACCCTTCAAGTCGAAAAATTCGAAAAGACTCATTTAGAACTATTAAAGTCCTCTACCCTCAAAAGACACACATAAGCACACAGACCCTTTTTCAGTTAATTAATCGACGCAACATGCAGCCACTATGCCGATATTATATAGGCCGAAACCTAGGAAGCAGAAAAACGAAATTTTACAAAACGAGTTGATAAAATACAACCAACAAAAAGCAAACTTCGAAATGGACGGATAATTTAAAATGCAAACATGCTCAGATTGTTCCTGTTGCAATATTTCCAACGATGGTGACAGCAGATGAGTCCTGTGAACAAATTTACTTACGGCGTAAAGGTCTAGCCTCCGGTTGCAACACACTTGCAATCGCAAGATAAACACATAGGCGATTCTGCACTGAGCAAGGAAAAACGGCAAAACATAACTCAAAAACAACAAAGGAAAAAGCAAAAAACTAATACTACTATATTCCAACTCAAATCTAGGGACAAAGATTAAACAGAGAGGCGAAGCAGAGCTTCGCACCTCATGCGATAGCAAACGACATGCCGAAATTTAAAGGATAATCTGGCTCACACGAAAAAAGCAACGAATTATTTGGAAATCGTCGGCTGAAAACCCAATAGAATTTTTGTAATTATTGTAGAACTAAATTGCCGAAAACTAAAAGCCTTCAAGCTACACAAACTCCATTCATTTACTCTGATAACTATTAGATGGAAAAGATACGAAAAAAGAGAGGTTTCGGTCCAACAATCAAGCTCCAAAAATTCCAAAACTCATCAAGAAACTTCGCTAAAAACCCTGGAATCAAACAAACTGCAGGTCCAAATCCAGATGAACCAAATGGAAATTTCGATTGCATGCTAAAAACAAAGATCAAAAAAGAAAAAATTAAACATTGAAACTTCAAAAAATTGAATAAAAAAATTTCAAAAAAAAAACACTACAAAAAAGTTGCACAAAATAAAAAACTCTAAGAGCCTATGAAACTAAAACAATAACATCAATCATGCGAAATCAGAAGCTAAAACGCAGCGGTACGGCAGCTGAACAACAATAAACAAATATCACAAAAAATTAAAGACGCCGTTAAGTGAAAAAATTCACCAAATTTGATAACTTTCAAAACAGTTATATCATCAGAAACAGCCACATTTTTAAATATCGTGCAACAGCCACCAATTACCTTCAAAGACAAGACAATCAATTCAAAAATTTAAACAATTTTCAGGAAATTTATATTAGACATTTTATTTTAGAGTAACTAGCGTGTAACGCACCTCCAGCGTTTCGAATTTTTGAGAAAACATTGAAAAAAAAAAGATCTGCAACCTTTGAGTGTATTCTGACAGCACCCAATAACAGGGTTCGTAATTTCAAATTAAACTAAGTTTTTTTCCGAGTTTTTTCAAAATTAAATTTTGTGAAGTTTTTTTATATCTAAGTTTAAACTAAGTTTAAATTTAAAACTGACAAAAAACGTCACATATTGGAAACTAAAAGCATTTGAGCAGTCGCCACTACAGGGTTAGGAGTTTCAAATTTTGAAAAAAAAAATGAAAAACCATAACAACATCACAACTCGAAAATTACAAAAACTTGAGAAGTCATATGCGGAGGCGAGATTCGCAACCCTTTTAGTACTCTGGACGCCCCCAACTATAGGGTTGGGAATTTCAAAATTTGAAAACAAAACATTCAAGTTTTCTGAAAATTTTTCGAAAAAATTGCAAAAAATGTCATATCTCGAAAAATAAAAAATTGAGCAGTCATACATGGAGGCAAAATTCGCAACCCCTGGAAATACTCTGAAAGCCTCCATTCAAAAGAAAAAAGCCTCAAATTTCAAGTGAAATATGAAAAAAAAACTTGAAAATTTTATTGAACAAAAAAATCACAAATAAGTCATATCTCGAAAACTAAAAAAAATTTGAGATTTGAGAAGTTATATTTGCAACCAACGAGAGTTCTCTTACAGCTTCCAACTCCGGGATTGCGATTTTCAAATTTGAAAACACATTGAATTTAAGTTTGCTAATATTTTTTCGAAAAATAACAAAAAAACGTCATATATCGGTAACTACAAAAAAATAAAAAACCATTATTGGAACTGATATTCGCAACCCCCGATAGCATTCTGACAGCCCCCAAATAGAGTTTTGAAAACAACAATATTTACAAAAATCAAATTTAATTTTTTTGAAAACTTTTTGAAAAATCACAAAAACATCATATCTCGTAAACTAAGAGCATTTTAGCAGCCGCATTTGAACGCAAGATTTAGATCTTGAAACTCCTGAGACTACCCTTACAGCACCCAATTACAAGATTAGGAATTTCAAATGTTTTTGATTTTTTCAAAATCTAAGTTTTCTGAAAAACTAAAAAGAAATCATAAAACGTCATATCTCGAAAACTACAAAGATTTGAGCAGTCATAATAATTAGAGGCATGATTCGCACTCCTTGAGAGTACACTGACAGCAACCAAAAACATGGTTGAAAATTTCAAGTTTTGTAAATTATGTTTTCCGAAAAATTTTGCAAAAATCACAAAAATCGTCGTATCTCGTACACTAAAAGGGTTTGGGCATTCATAATTGGAGACCAAATTCGTAGCCCCTGGGGGAACTCTGACAATATCCCACTATTGTAATGCTAATTTTAACTCGGTGGAACAAACACTAGATTCAAACTGGAAAATCGCAAAAAAAATCTTAAGCATTTCAATATACGACTTAGCTTAAGGACGCATAGATACGTTATTCCATTAACTGTTGCAAAAAAAACGCTTAACATGGCAAGATACGTGTCACACGCACTTAAATACAGAATGGATAGATGAAAAACTTTTTTAGACATTTCAACAATACGCTATGCCATATCACCATGGATTTGAAATGAACGTGCACGCATTAAAAACTTGACACTTGAGTGTGTTAAATTAACTGCACACACTAAAATAACAAAAAAAAATCAAACCACGAATTCTGAAAATAACTGAAAAACTAAAAATAAATGAAAAAAAATAAAAAAAAAAATCGCTTGAAAGTTTTTCTTTTCAAACTAAATTTTTTAGCGTTTATAAAATGGCATGTTGAAAAACATGTATGAAAAAACCTTAAGTTCTTTGAATTG